TTTTGAATCATTCATCAAATCCTGCTTATATTTGGTTAAATCATCAAACTTGACATAAATTCCTGAACTACAAGTATTGTAATGAAGGAATAAAATTAAGACACAAACATTTTCCAATATTTGAATATGATATCAAATTAAAACATCCAGTTGCCAAACTTATGGAGGGGAGGGTAACTTGTATAAACATCCTACATTGGAATATATGAAGGCTTATAATTAGAAGCCTAATCAATGCAGTCAATGAGGGTAAAATACTCCCTAACCTTTAGTCTATACATGTCTATCTGGAATATATGAAGGCTTAGAAGCCTAAATCAATGCAGTCAATGAGGGGAAACTACTCCCTAACCTTTCATCTATCTGGCTCTTGTGAAAAAAGAGTCCAAGGAACGACAAGTGATGACATATTGTTATTGTCTAAAACTTTTTTGTAGATGGTATTCGGTTTATGGTGGTGGATGTCTGTAACAAATGGCACATAGTGACATTTTGCATGTTAATGCCTTATCAGTATTATACTTATCAGTAACTTATAACTTATACAATGTATTTTTCTCCAGGTATCATTTGGCCAGTGGAGTCGATGCCTATATGGTTGCGCTATGTTAGTATGGCACTTCCAATGACATATCCAGCTGAGGCCATGCGCTGTGTCCTAAGCAGAGGCTGGGATCTGACATATATGCCCGTGTAGCGAGGATTCCTTGTGGGGATAGGCTGGGGATGGGGGCTTATGTTAATAGCAGCTATAATATTACGTGTGAAAGGATCATAGAAATAAAGCTATTGACTCTTGACAGGAATCCCAAAATACATGCATTTTAGGAATATGAAATCATTCTCGATACATGTGGAACTTTGTGCATTTATGGTACTTGGAATACACCGATAAAATATGATTTACTTGGCGACATTCTTGATGAGAAGAGGAAGTTCATGTACACTCCCCTTCATTGTTATGTTCTCCAATTTTTTTGTGGTGGTGTTTGGTGGTTAGCGTCTGTCATTAGGAGTTTGGCACCTGTAAGAAATGGCAGGTGGTGACATTTTGCATGTTAATGCCTTGTTTACATTACATTGATAGATGTGACATAAATTTGTTTGACAGTTATTACATTGCATTGATAGCTATTAAAATATATTGATAGCTTTAACATAAATTTGATAGCTATTATATTTGATAGCAATAACATTTACATGAATAGCTATTACATTACATTGATCAGTTGATCATTATGACATCATAACATGTTGCTGTTTGAATCTTTATTACGTTCTGTTATGGCAATAGTTCGAAAATATATGACAAATTAGATGATTTTAAATCACAGAACATAATCAGTATATATAGTTAAAAAATTGCATTGTCAGGCCTAGATTTAAGACAATATTAGGACCAATTCTATGAGATTCACACATATACATGTATTTTACTTGCTTTTATTTTTAGATGCGTTTTATTCAACATTTTTGTAGTTTATTACATTATTATGATGAATTTGTAATCATGGTTACATTTTATAAACATATAGCATAATAAGGATAGGGACAGTTGCACACGTCCCTCCCCCATACATGTACTGTAGCCCAGGACTGTAGCCTGTATTTCTTTCAAATGGATACAGGCTACAGTGAAGTTGCAAATGGAGAAATGAAAATGTTTGTTTATTTCCATATTTCTGAAGGTATACTAGATTTTACATATATTACTAGTGTTCTACTGTACATTGTATACATGTAGATTCATTGAGCAGTTTACCAGAGAAGCTCTATTATATACAATGATAGAGAATACCCGCACCATTTGCAACTTCACTGCAGCCTGTATCCATTTTAAAGAAATACAGGCTAAAGTATGGGGTTAGGGTAGTGTGAATTTAAGACTTTACATGTGCATTGTCAACTTGTCCAGTGTATTCGGACTGGCGTGTGTAAATAGATGGTAAAGTCCATAGGCCAAGGTCGATATAAAATCTTTTTTGAAATAAAGATGGCATGGTAATCGATCTGTGTTTATTTATAATTCTCTCTCTTGTAAAAAGAGAAAAAGGTAAAATTCACTGGTCAGTATCAAGCGAAGGTAGAAATATCGAAATCGACAATTATTGTCTGCCATCTTTGATGCAAAGGTGACAGCCGTTACCTTCGCTTGATACTGACCAGTGAATATTGGATTCTGCTGGTGCTGCCATCTTTATATCGGCCTAAAATCTATGGTTAAATTGTAACATTGTAGAATTTTAGAAATACAACTTTTAATTTATATGCTTTGTAATCGTATTATATATGTAACCATTAATTTGTCAAGGGTCATTATATATAGTAACTACTATTATTAAAGTAACTACACAATTTGACATAAATAAACACAATGAGGTCGCAAAATTAAAGTAGGCAAAAATAAATGAAGATTGTGTATCTGTAATTTATATATTTTGTAATCGTATTACCTATATATGTAACCATTAATTTGTCAAGGGTCACTATAGTAACTAGTAACTACATAATATTTATTTATATTGTATTGTTTTATTGGTAGAAATAAATAATAGTGCTATTAAATATAAAGTTTTACATTTCTTATTGATCTTGATTATTACTGTATTTTCGATCTTGTGCTGATGGGGCCAAAAATTGTTGTCATGGAGAGAGAAAGCAAGATATGTTGTCATGGAGATAGTAAGAAACGCATTCATTTGTTTTACTTTAAATCTTTCCAAATCCAAGTGTGATTTTTATCAATGTGTGCCACAATGATCCCATTTATTCTGAAGTCATTTCATTTTCTAACCATTTCACAAACATTTCTTTTCATATAATACTTCTAAATTGGCATCATTTCCATGTTTGAATTGCTGATACAGTTTCTGGCTATTGATATTATCTCTATCATCAGTTTTCATTCCACAAACGAAATATCAATTATTTTGCCCAATATTTCAGTTTCATTATTTTGAAACATTGAATACATGTTTTAATTGGCAGTTTAAAATGGTTGTGATTTCAAGTGTTATTTTATATATGTCCAACAAATCGAATTATGGTTTTGATACTATCTAGATGTATTTAATAGTATCTCAATGTCTCGTTAATTCATTTGACCAATAAAAATCATAACTGCCTGTAATATGAATAAAGTATGTAAATAAATGAATTAAAACGTCAAATTAAGAAGCAAAAGTCTTTTCTGGGTCACTGCGAATGGCATGATTTCCTCGAGTCTCTTCAGTTGCAAGGCAACCATACTGGGACCGATTCGCGTCGTTCCACTACTGCCCTTGGTGGGGGCCCGCTACCATACTATATGACTCCCGGAGTTTACTGAAGCACGTTAGTGGAGGAACCAACCACAGTCTCACAATCTGTCTCCGGCAAGAGCGGCCAGAGAACCAACCCATGCCAAGGGCCGGTAAACGGTTGGACCTTCGGACCGGGTGTCCGTAGTGACAATGATCAACAACTCCGTACCTGGGGCTCGAACGCGAGACCTCCGTATCCCACTACGTTCAACCGCAAAGTAGCCTCAGTCTACGCCACTAGGCTACCCTGCTTAGGTGTCAAAACTGCTAAAAAATAATGTAGTTGTTACAATTATTTGCTTGGATAAACATCTGATTTAATCTGATTTAGTTGGAATCGAAGTTCGACCAACGATCAAGGCAATGCAATCAACGACTCTTGCAAATGTCGTAAAGACAGAAAGTACAAGAATCGTGATCAATGTAAAGTATAATATTTAAGACACATCTTTAAATATCGGGTTGGAGAAACATTCCAAACTGAAGAAGAATCATTTATAACATTTGATTTGTTGCCAATATATCAATTGCGTCTCAAATTAATGAAATAAAAGGTACCGCGGGCCTGTGACTAAAGCCGATGAGTGAAAACAATTATAATTGACGCATCTAGATCGCTCAATATAACGGTAAGTGAATAGGTTTGTGTAGATACGTCGAGGAAAATAAGCTATTTCGACGCTTGAAATAATCTGATTACGCTTATTAATAATTACGCGTGGATAGTATTAAACACAAGTGTTGTGTAGAACAAACACAAGAAAACTGAACAACCTATCAAGGAACTGTACTTCAAGTGTTCAAAATATTTCCGCATGCTCCAGATGGCTGTGGCTGAAGCGGAATGACCAATGGGCAATGGTGCCCGTCTGCGGGTGAGGCTTTGTAAAGAACCTCATCGACCAACAGGTGCTAATAATGGGTCGAAACACTGTCTGACGCACGTGCTACCTGCTGACGACGCAAGAGCACCAACCACCAAGCCCATCCATCAGTCCAAAGTCAATGTCCCTTCCCAATATCTCTAAAGACACACCACTTTTGACTCAAGGAGTGTAGCAATGCATCATTATTGATGTTTACACAAATGTACGTAACCATTAAATGTTTACACAAATGTATGTAACCATTAATTTGTCAAGGGTCACTATAGTAACTACAAAATTTGGCATTAATAAACACAATGTGAGGTCGCAAAATTAAAGTAGGCAAAAAATAAATGAAGATTGTTTAACTGTAATTTATATATTATGTTATCTTACTACCTGTATATGCACCATTAAGTTGTCCCTATTGCTGACGTGAAAAACACAAAATAACGAAGGCTGCGAAATTAAGGCGCAAAGTTATATGAAGATTTTGTTACTGCTGTATTTGCAGAACACTCAAAACTTTTTATTTTCAAAAAAATTCAATTTTTTAAGTTTCATTTTTTCAAAAATTGAATTTTTTTTCAAACATTTTCATTTTTTTCAAAATTTTAATCTCTTTCAACACTGTCACTGCGTTCCCTCGGGAAATATTGATATTATCCCTGTGACATCACCCATATCAAATCCCTCCTGGTGAATAACTTCTTTTTTATATCATGATCAGCACAAGTTAGAGTTGCTGATTCTAAAGTTAGACAATTTAATTTTGATTAATTTTCCGAGATTTTGGGAAGTCCTATAACACGATTAAAACTTGAATATATAAACATTTTATGCACATATGAAAAGTATTTCTTGGCTTTCTGTTCTCAGTTATTTTGTTTTTGTAACAGCATCACTTGTTTCCCATTTCAGTGTTAGAAATAAAATATTTTGAAACTTCTTTTTTTAATTATTTAAATATATAGTATAATTAATTAATAACTTATATGGATGAATATGTAAACATGATAAATATTTGAGAAAAAGTGCGTTGATAATGACACGTTTGGGTGCTTTGATATAATATATTCAAACATGACCACGGTAGAAAATCCTGGATGCTCTGCATATTACCGGGAATTTATTTTTTTGCAAAAAATGTCTGAAAATATTGATTTATTTATTTGTGGTGTTAATATACTTTTGGGTACATTTTTAGACACCCTGTATAGGGATAAAAAGTACAATGTCGATTTTCTATGTCGATTTTGTGAAGCCACGGCCCCCGTACGCTTGCCGTGGAGCAAATGTGAGTGAGACTTCAACTGCCTATAGAAGATACATAGGTTCTCACATACATGTCACATGCTTAAGACATCAATTATTAATAAACAGCATATAAAAACCTACAATATATAGCTATAGTTAACCGGATTTTACGAGACTTACAGTTATTCAAAACGTTTTTCACCACTGAAGATGAATTTCAATAAATTAAATATAATTGATTGATGTATCATATCGAGAAGCAAAACTCTTCTGGGTCATATCGAATGGCATGATTTCCTCGAGTCTCTCCAGTTGCAAGGCAACCATACTGGGACCGATTTGTGTCATTCCACTAAGTCCTCGGCGGGGACTCGCTACCATACTGTATGACTGACAGACGGACAGAAAAGCGAATAGTATTTCTCTTCGCATTTATTTGGAATAATCAAGTTTGAAATTATAAAACAAGTATTGCTTTTGTTAGTGTCCAGTTTTCCACCAGTATTCCCCTAACAAATATATTGCTTAATAGATAGGACAGATCACGTGATTGTTAAAAGAATATCCAGATTTCACATCATAATCCTAAACTGACATTTTAAGAAAAATCTTTTTCTATACATGTAAATGTCCTAATCCGCTTACATGGGATCGTATTCTATCGTCTTATAGATAAAACAGGCTAAATAGGCATATGTGTTGACAGTTTATTCTTGCGGAATCTTCCTATACAGTGAAGTACTTGTCAGTTTTTTAGAAGTTTTCCCCTGGGTGCATCCCAGCGACTTCATATTGAAGCAATAGTCTTGAGGTAGCGTGAAGGAGTATACAAACGCGGAACATTCAGGATTCCCTGTGCAAGACTCGGCACATTTCAGCAAGGAGTCCTTCGATGCCAGTAATGCTTTATCCAGGATGTCCGTGTCGTAGTCTTCTTTGCACATTCCGTCTTCATGGTTGTAGTAACTTAAGGCTTTTTCAACTGAAATATTGATTTTTGAAAGATTATACTTTACAATGATATGCTACATCAGGGAGGTTAAGTTAGCACTGATTTGAAGAACGTGTACGTAAAATTTTAATCATGGTCCCTTGTGGACTATTATCATCTCAATTTTGATAATAAGGTCCCCGTTTAAACCAATTGATAGGTGAACTACAATACCTGTATCCTAGCTATGGGTCATAATATTACACGTTTACGTCCAACTTCTTCCAAATACGTGTAACTCACCCTTACTGACTACTATAATCTAGTATGTTCGAACTACCGTTTTGTTTTTAACCAATGCGTAACACTTTTCAGATTGCTCACTCCAAAGATTCAACACTACGTGGGACTTAGACGATGTGACACTTAAAACGTGTGAAACGTTGCCCCATTTGTGTATGCTAGACCTAGCTTTAAAGATTTCTACGAAGATTGTACTTTTGTAAGTACCATTTTACCAATTTATGTTTATCTAATCTGCTCTTTATTTAGTTTTTTAGGATGAAAATTATAAATGATTTGTAAAATATAACTCACGCCTCCGCTCTAGTCCAATCAACCTTATAAAAAGTAACTCTCTTTTGAAGGACTGTACATCTGTGTATCCCCGTTTCCTCAAAGATTCTACAATGAAAATTACAATGTGAGGTAAAACCATGTTATTGTTAGTCATTTTATTTCTTCAGTTCCAATAATGTGCGTGTTTTCCTGCAAATAGCAGTTTGCGACATTTCTAAAACTGCAGCTTTGTCAACTCATCATTTATGGTCAAAACAGTAATGTTTGTGACTACTTTGAATTTAAAAAAATAAGCAATCAAATGACCATATTTAAACAGTTTATGTAAAAATAGAAACATTTATATTTATCCTAACTTTTGTATATCTTAGTTTGTTTTGTAGTTTAGCTATCATATCTGTCCTCTTATATTTTGATACTTCTCTGACATGTTATTTTCGGAAAAATTAACATGGCTGAAACTCCCTAAATTACAAAAGGCCACAGCTTTGCTGCACATTATACATTACTATTTGAAATATACAAAAGTTAGGATAAATACAAATGTTTCTATTTTTACATAAACTGTTTCAATATGGTCATTTGATTGCTTATTTTTTAAATTCAAAGTAGTCACAAACATTACTGTTTTGACTATAGCTTTTTATGGTAATAGGCAATTCGTATAACCAGATTCTAAACGAGGAATTTGGAAAAATGATTTTAAGATGTTTTATCTAGCCTATGAACGTTCTGGGTAGATTTCATGATTTGAATGGTTTTCAGTTCTACGTTAATCTGAATCAGTCACGTAGCTAGCTAGAGAAATTCCAGGGGGGGCTCACTTTGACAAATCTGGCCCAAAATCACATGAAAATCCCTAGAATCGTTAAAAACTGCATGATTTTGAAAGAAATTTTGGCCAAGGGCTGGGGGAGGCGGTTCGCTCGAACCCCTCGAACCCCCTACAGTTGGGGACAAAAATAAATGACAGGTCGATTTTCGATCACCATTTCCTAATTATGGTGGTCTGAAAGCCCATAATTTCCAATATTGTCTAGATACATATCCCTTAAAATTTGTATATTTTACATTTTGTATAATCTCATCCACTGATTTATGGCCTCTTGTAAATTCTCTAATTTTTAACATGGGAAATCCTCACTTCAGCAAATCCACCTGTCATTTATTTATGTCCCCAACTGTACGTGCATGTATACAAAATTGAGTTACCTGATTGGGCAATATAGAATGAAACAGTCAGGAGCAACAAGAGGAATGTCTTCATTTTGAACTCCTGGGCTATCAACTGTCGAACAAGCTATTGCTGAAAAAGATGGGATAAGCGTGGATCCAGAATTCAAACATATAATTGGGTTGAAAAATACATAGAGTTGTGGCAGTAAGGTACAGTTGGGGACAAAAATAAATGACAGGTCGATTTTAGATCACCATTTCCTAATTATGGTGGTCTGAAAGCTCATAATTGCCAATATTGTCTAGATACATATCCCTTAAAATTTGTATATTTTACATTTTGTATAATCTCATCCACTGATTTATGGCCTCTTGTAAATTCTCTTATTTTTAACATGGGAAATCCTCACTTCAGCAAATCCACCTGTCATTTATTTATGTCCCCAACTGTAATCAAGTTTTCTCAGTCAAGTGAACTGATGTAAACAGAGTTCATATTTCCAAAATTTTGTGTATTTTCCGTAACGACTTTTACACCTTGATTCCTTATCTTTAAGTGTTCATAAGCCTATACATTAGAAGAAATAACTATATGCAAACTTACCTTTATTGCTGAATCAAGCCATCACAGTACATATACCTATCTAAATTTTGATCCAGATATTGTTGCCAAATATATATACAAGCACATTATCCACAACATGAACGCATACTAAATATATTTATATGGCACACTGGCCAGGTGAACCCCTACTGCTGTGAGACTATTTCCACTTAAATGTGTTCCCTTTGAATGCGTTTCTTTCATTTCAATTGCACGCGTGTTTGTATTTAGAAAAACCAATAAACCACAATCCAATAACTACTACTGTTGCTGAGTGGGTTCTACTGAAAGTCAGTGAATTTGACTTTCCTAATCTTAAAAACATACTCCAGAAATCAAAAATATATGAGGGAATTTGAAGCATGTTGCAAATGGTTACAAAAGCGTAAAAACTTTTACCGATGAAGCCATGAACGACAACCAAAGGTCATATCTGAAATCAGATTTGAAATTTTTGGTTATTTGCTTGCAAATTGACTTTAATGTAATGTTTAGATAGATGTCGCATTGTACATATTGCTAGTTTTTGAAATAGCCGTCAGAGGCGGGGCATAGTGAACAAATTTTTTTGACCTTCAATATATTGCCATGGCAACAAATATTGGCAGAAATGTGTTGGAACTCACAACATGAAACAAGAGATTAGAAGGAAAATGGGAGCCATTTCACAAGATATCTGTGAGCGTGTAGCCAGAAAATTTGTCTCTTAAAACAGACTGGCATTTTGAGCATGATGTGTAAAATTTCCTTAAAATCTTGAGCATTTGACCAATGAAACTTGGTAGAATAAAAGAACATTGGACAAGGTCAAATTGTGCCAGATATGACTTAGAATCCATACAGGATGATTAAGTTATTGGGATTTGTTTGGATTACCTTTTTGGCTCACCACCCTGTATGTGTCTCCTTGGGCAGTTTTGGCTACCCAATTTTCAAATAAAGGCAATCCACCCAATTTTAAATCTGGGATAGACAGCGTTTTAACTCAATATGTCACTTTTGCTCCAATGTCACATAAAATAAAACAACAGAATTTCTTTTAATGACATTTATTGACTATACAATTATATACGATAAGAAGCTAATAGTATTTACATTGGACTGATGGCAGAGATGTATCAAAATACTCCGGTGTTGTACAAAAAATAGTGTATCATTACTATATGCATATTGAGTTTAGTTTACAACTCACCATTGATGTCCATGTAATGTTTAATGATGACGTCACTTGAATATTCTAGAGAGCAATTTCTAGAATTGTCTAGAAATCGCACTTGACTTCGTCCATTTTACAACCTGACATAAAGGACCCAATCACGGACCCATGGACTATAACTGACATGCTTCAGGACCAATCCAAAGGGAACCTATATCCAGCAGAACAAGGGTGTCATTTTGGAATGGGACCCAAAATGGTCAGACCCCACATTACTATAGACAGACAAAGGTGAGATTTATTACAAGTAGGATATATAATATACAGCATAGGATATATAATATATACCATAGTATATATATTACATTAACCAAAGAATATATAATACATACCATACCTTTTCAACATTACTTGACAGAAATACACATTTTTTACAGCAAACAGGCATCACCAAGGATACCCATGATTAAAGCTAATGAGTATAAAATGATCATATTTTTTGAATTAATATATATGCAGCTATGATACAATAATCTACAAGCTAACACAAAAAGACAGCGAGACTATGGCAGAAATTCAATGAACATGTGAATACATGTTATTTGCATACAAGTGTTTACATGAGAATTTTACCTATTTTATCAGTGAAAATTTCCATCAATCAATTACGAAGATTTTCAAAAAATTTGCACTCATAATTTGCACCATTTTCCATTTCAAAGTTGTAGAACTCTTTCGAACTTGTAATCTGAGTCAAGCACCGTCATTTTCAAATAAACTAAAACTGTTCACAAGAATAATTGATATTATCACACAAAAGAAATGAACACATTTGATCAAAAAATGAACACATTTGATCAAACAAATGAACATATTTGATCAAACAATTGAACACATTTAATCAAACAAATGAACACATATGATCAAACAATTGAACACATGTGATCAAACAATTGAACACATGTGATCAAACAAATGAACACATATGATCAAACAATTGAACACATGTGATCAAACAAATGCACACATATGATCAAACAATGAACACATGCGATCAAACAAATGAACACATATGATCAAACAATTGAACACATGTGATCAAACAAATGCACACATATGATCAAACAAGTGAACACATTTGACCAAACAAATAAATACATTTGATCATACAAATGAACACATTTGATCAAACAATGAACACATGCGATGAAACAAGTGAACACATTTGATCAAACAAGTGAACACATTTGATCAAACAATTGAACACATGTGATCAAACAAATGAAAATATATGATCAAACGAGTTAACACATTTGACCAAACAAATAAATACATTTGATCATACAAATGAACACATTTGATCAAACAATGAACACATGCGATGAAACAAGTGAACACATTTGATCAAACAAGTGAACACATTTGATCAAACAATTGAACACATGTGATCAAACAAATGAACACATATGATCAAACAATTGAACAAATTTGATCAAACAAATGAACACATTTGACCAAACACTATAGGCATCTTAACATTACGCTAATTTGAAACTAATTTTCAACACAAGCAATAAGAGAATAAAAAACAAAACATTATAACACAGGCATTTCATAAATTCCATTTTCTCCATAATCCCCTGTTCTTGAAGTGTATCCATGAAAAAATAATTAATTTTGACTGTTGTTATCAATTATCCAAATGAAACCCCTGCAACTGTAAAACCTTATGAAATGCAAACAGTGGTCTCCATGGTTTTTTTTCTCAAGTGGGTGCAAAATTCTTATTGTCGCAATTCAAATTGGGAAAAATATGCCTATTTTTCGTGGTTTTTCTCATTTTCAAGTGGGTGCAAATAGATTTTCAGATGGGTATAAGCATGTTTTCAAAATCTCAGGTGGGTGCTGCGCCCACTTGGTTTAATGCTGAGGAGATCACTGTCAAATGTTTTTTTAGCTCTCAAGTGGAACTCTTATCTTTGGGCACCAATTACACATTTTACATTCTACAGATTTTACTTCTATGCAATTTCTAGATACTGGTTCTACAGTAAAGTGTTTAGTGAATTTGGTTGTTATGTCATATCTCGAACATGTACAATGTTTATGTTTTCAATGATTAGACAGGAAGACCCCTAATGGCAAGTTATTAGCAAAGATTTGATAGATTTTAATACAAACACTATCATGCAGTTTTGCACAAGCATACTATGATCAAAAAGTCTTACAAAGTGCATCACATTAAACCACATAAATGGATCTAACTTACTTATTTGTTAACTTCACATGATTATAGCAATACTCTAATTAACCTAGATGTCTTTCTTATTATATAATTGTTTATATATATTTGTTTACTCATATTTTTATGCCTTTACAATCAAGTCTATTCCCAAATCCATGATTACATATCTGAACTATTTATACATAGTAAGCTGTTCTTATAAACTTTAATTATTGAGTTCCACATCTATAAAATAAACCAGCATGGACTAGTCATTTCCCAATTTTTGGACTCTGAACAAAACTGCACCAGTATGGGTGGACTAGTTGTTTCCTAATCTTTTGATTCAGGTGAACTTTCTAGGGATGAGGTCAATTTTAAACTTCAATACTTAAATACCAATTTTAATTAATGTAACTTCTTTTCATTAGATGTGGAACTTTTTATTTACAAGTTGTGATTAAAGTAACACATCAATATTCATTTTAAAAACATTGAAATAACTTCAAACACAATAAAAGATTAAAATATATTTGTGATATAAAGCTGGATTATGCGTCATTATGAGAGGTAAATACATATAAAACTAAAGATATTTTTAAAGCTGAATATGTTATCAAAATGTGCAGAAATTCAATTTTCCTATTAACATGAGTTTACCAATGTGGCAATTGACAAACACATGAAAGCCATTTTTAATGCTTTCATTTTCACCAATATTTCTGTTTGAAACAACCATCAATATTTAAAATAAAAAATATGACACTTCTTGACTTTTTTTGACAATTTTGGTCTAATTTTAAACAGTCAACCATAAAACTGAAAGATGCTTTACAACTGGAGCTCAAAACTCCGATCCAAATATCAGGTCTTCAAATTTGTCCACAATTTTTTTCAACCATCAATATTTAAAACAAAAAATATGACACTTCTTGACTTTTTTTGACAATTTTGGTTTAATTTTAAACAGTCAACCATAAAACTGAAAGATGCTTTACAACTGGAGCTCAAAACTCAGATCCAAATATCAGGTCTTCAAATTTGTTCACAATTTTTAACCATCAATATTTAAAACAAAAGATATGACACTTCTTGACTTTTCAGATCAATTTTGGTTTAATTTTTAACAGTCAACCATAAAACTGAAAGATACTTTACAACTAGAGCTCAAAACTCCGATCCAAATATCAGGTCTTCAAATTTGTCCACAATTTTTTTTCAACAGACCTATACTCGTAGTAATGAAATGTAAAATTGATTATGGAAAAATGTACACTTTTTTATACTAGCATATAAGAAAATATGTAGTATATTAGACCAGAATTTCTCAATGATTATTGAGACAAATCTGGATAATAATATTGAAGCTTGTCTGATAAATAATGCACTAGTTATCTGCAATTCAGCCTGGTCCCAAATTCCATGCTTTCCAAACTTTTTACACATCACTCTAAAGCCTACAAATTCACAAATATAAATCCAGAAATCATTATTTTGCCGATTGAGTTTCTCTTTCTACGATTGCACTTTCAATACACACTAGTTCTTTTAACTTTCCGGTGGTGTAGATCTTCCTTGAGCTATAGTAATATATTCCTCCTAGTAACTATCCTTCAATAAATGTCACCCATAAGCTTTCTGGTGATATACTTCTACTAGCTTTCAAGTGATATACTATACTATAACTCCAATATGATTTAATTTTCCTGATGGTATTCTCCCACTACTTTCTATTGATATATTTCTCCTACAAGCTTTCTGATGGTATATTTCTCCTACATGTTATTATGATGTTGTCAATGAGGCATGGCTGACCCGAGACGTGTGTGACATCTATAGGTTTATTGTGGAACTACATAATGACACATTTGTCTTTGTTGGGATCCCCCTGGAAATACAATGAAAACAATGGTTAAAATTAATTCAAGGAAAATAATTGCTAATAAATTTCAAATACAAGAGAAACAATGCTTTTAATTTAATGATGAAAACATTTGCTCAAGACAATTTCAATGACAATAAAATGACATTGGTTAAGACGAATTCGATGAAAAAAATTCAGATAAAACTGAATTAAATCAAAGAGAAAATGGTTTTAATGTCAATGATGAAAACATCTGCTCAAGAGAATCTCAATAAATACAATGGTTCAAATCAATGAAATTCATGTTAGGACTTACTACAAGGTTATAGAGAGTTGGTAATGGTAATACAGAATTTTTTTCATTATATATGTGCACTTACTTTAACAATTTGTACAGCACATCATTATATTAGTTACTATTGTGTTAATGTAGTGTTAGAAATACAGCTAAATAAGTTATACGAGGGGTGATCCAAAAGTCTTGGACGCCCTGCTCTAATTTTGTTGGTTTTTGATAAAATTACTTTAAACTTTCCAATAATAAGGACCAACAACATAACTACTTTGTGTATTAATTTCATGGAAAAATGATATGTTTTATGTAGTTTTCTAGACAGTTTTTAATATGGGGACCCTGCCACCCGGAACGGTATTCACACATGACAACTTTCAGCCTTAAATGTTGCCGCCATTTGACTTATTTCGCAAGTCTTGACCACTGTCTTTCTTTGAATTGTGAATGTTAAACCATTTTAGTTTTCTTCCTTCTTACTAGGCAAGCAATTAATTGTGTTTTAATTATAATGTCACATATGACAATGATCATATATGTCAAATTCTAAGAAAATGACATCAGATAAGCAACCCTCATTCTGGTATCATTTTTGCTCCAAAATGGCTGCTGAAATGCAGAACATGAAAGAAATCAAAGTGGAACAAAGAATACTACAAGATGTTTTCACTATTATTGACCTTTAGCAGCTACCATATGCTCAATACAGTCTAGATATGGCTCCATGTGATTTTCTTCCTTTTCTCGAAGGTGAAAGGAGGGTTGAAAGAAATTTTTTTTTACTCATTGGATGAGGTTTAGAGTGGCACTCCAGCAGCATTTGTATCACATAAGGAATGGCGGTTTCATAAATGGCTTCCATTCATTGGTAAAGCGGTATGAAAGATGTGTTCAAATTCGTGTAAAATATGTTGAAAAGTAGGTCTTAATATGTGAAGATGATGATGGCAGATGACACTCAGATTGAAAATCGGAAAGTTTCTCATATAATGACTGGTGTTTGGTTGTGCACCCGGACCTAAAGTATTTGCCATATTATAACAGTTGTGACATGATTTGCTATATTTAAATACCGTTCCGGGTGGAAGGGACCCAGTGTTAAAAAATCTTTACCAAAAATCTAAAATATATTATTTTCTGTCGAAACTTATACACAAAGTTGTTAAGATGTTGATCTTTATTATCTGAAAGTTTCGTGCAATTATATTAGAAAATAGCAAAGTTAGAGCGGGGCGTCCAAGACTTTTGGATCACCCCTCGTATCTCTTAAAAAGTTTAAAGTCTGTCATAAATAAAAAAATCTAAATTTTCATTGTTGCTATGACAAAACTATATAAAGTGGCTACAAGTGGTGCCACCTGTTGATGAAAAATGTCTTCATCTCCCACCTCATCCAGAGTGCCGTCTGTGGAGTCGGAGAAGCCTGAGCGTGAGAATTGCGATGTCCTCAGTATGGATTTGTTCAGCTCCATGGAAGCAATCTCCTGAAAATATAAATTGACTAAAGTTAGTAATTCATATAGAATACATATTTCTACAATTACCAAACTACATGAACCGTATTCTCTGTAATTACCGCCCACTCTCTAATAAGCGCCCACCCCGCTTCACAAAGTTCAAGAAACATCGAGGAATCAACAAGAATTGAAGAATATATCAGGAAAAAAATATTTCTCAAAATCCAGGAGCGGGCGATAATAGAGTACTTACCCTAAAACTGCTGTAAACACGACGCGTTTTGTAATTCTATGCATCCTCTCGATACATATCTATCGATGGGTGCTTCCCACCCCATACCATGCTAATATTGTCTCCAAATAGTCCATAATGAATGAAGGAATTGTTCTTTATCGGCATTCAGAAATTTCAAAAGCTACTGCGCAGATGTTCTCCGCATGTCAAGGTCGTGAACTTTCTGGTTTCTTTTTAATGTTTCTCGACTTTTACACGACTTTTGCACGAATAATGATGATCTCTCATCAAATTAGAAATAATGTATAACTTTAGATCGATATCCAGCAGTCTCTAGTGGAAATATTGAAGGTAATCGGCGATAATGACAAAGTGGGCGTGCCGGAAATAAATTAGACATAGACGGGTCTTCAACCACTGTCAATATTGTCTAAGCGATCTTTACCGTATTCTCTCCAATAACAGCACTTGTCATATTATTATAAAAATATGTTGAAGAAAATGCATTCTTGTCAAGAAAAATTGCCATACATGAAATTCCTCGGGATTTCTGATTTCTTTCATACATGGGCGCTTATTAGAATGGTCTAAATAATGTATTTTCAATTTTCTAAACGCCCTGGGCGCTAATTACAGAGAATACGGTATATATATATATCTAATTTTTCAGGATATAATATTTTTACTGAATTTGAAATTTGTTAATATTGTCATAAATAATACATCACACTTTTACAGGTATAATGCAGAAAAAATTAACTAAAAAACAATAAATATCAACCATATTAACATGATTAACTTACAGATGCATCATGGGTACTTACCTCCTCTGCCTTATTAAGAAGGGATGTCTTCATGTTATCGCCAAGGACCCAGGATTGTCCTTTCATTACAAGATCTGTGGGAGGACTATGGGTTGCGTCACTATCTGCGCTCCATACAGTAACGGTCTGTCCAGCCTTGAGAGTACTAGAGCGATGGAACTTGAAATCTGTCTCCTTGTCGCCAGCTTTATGCACCAATTTGTGTCCAGATAGAGGTATATCCTGAGTGGAAGTCATAGACAGTATAATATTGATATCAAACGTAGCATTTTAGGCTCCGCTGTGCTTGGCATTTGTGCATTTATATTAACATTACAATGATGGATCACTAGAGCGGTAGAACTTCAAACCTGTCTTTTGATTGTCAGCTTTGAGGGGACAATCTTTTAAGGTGTTAGAAAAGTGCAGGTTAATATAATGGCATGTACTTTTTGAAAATTGCATTATTTTCTTGGTCCCCTAAAACATGCTCTTAACTTTTAAACAAAATTAGTTGAAAAAGAATAATATTAAAAAGAACATTAATGTATTGCGAAATTCTTAACTAAAAAAAGTCTTGTCTTACTGTTATATTATTTTAAAGATTTTTATTGTAATATTTACTTATCAAACATAAATGCATGGCAGGGGCTTCATCAAAACTTTTAAAATTTTTAAATTTCATTAGTTCTACCAAAATCGTGTTTTTGGGCAATTTTACAGCAGCCTCCTTATCAATTTTAAATTCTGCTTCTCGCTTTAACTTATGTTGTTTGTTGCCAAGGAAACCTCTGCTTATGCACAATATTTTTACACGCCGGGGTCATACCTTTGAAGCAGAGTTGTTTTTGAGACGAACAAATCTGCCGCTCTCATCAACTTCATCCACAGAAATTTCAGCTGTTGCGTTCGATGACTTTTCGTAACCAGTCTGTGATGTTGTCTGGGTGAGCTCCCTTATGGCACTGCTGTCATAGGCCATTCTCTTACCTACAGTAGTGTACGAATTTTTTTTATATTCAATCTCATTTCAAAATTTCTTTAATCGCAACAATATGCAAAAGAATTACATTACATAAAAGTTTTGTAATAAACCTATTAAAATATTACAGTAATGCCAATGTGCCATTTTAAAATTGCCTAAATAAAGGATGAGTCTGGGAATGAGTCTGGGTATCGACTTAGAAAATATGTAAAATTGTAATGTCTGAAAAACCAACTCAATCACACATATTATTAAACTTCAATATCTTAAGGTGCTATGGAAGTTAACAGGAAATGATAAAACAAAAAATATCAAAACCATGCTGGATTTTGAAAAATTTTTGAACCAAGATAACAGAGTTCTGTTTGGACCCCCAGTCAGTTTAACTAGTTCCACATATCATTTACATGACCGGGAACACAATGAAAATGGTCAGAATGACCATAAACATGATGCATGAAATAACCTTTTCAGCCCTCAGAAAATGTGACTGAAAAATAGCTAAAAGTACATGCTCAGGAAAGGTCAACGAACAGAATCTTTTGATTTTTTCAGAAAAGGTGTCTAACATATTGCTCTAAATGATACAATCTTTGAAATTTTAAAAAATCTTCTTAAACAATAATGGCTGTAGTTAAAAGGAAAATAGATCGATTTTAAATTCAGTTTTTCATTTTTTTCTTTTTCTAAGAATGATATGAATTTTTTTTAAATTGTATCATTTAGAGCAATATATTAGGCACATTTTCTCAAAAAGTCAAAAGATTCTGTTCAGTGACCTTTCCTGAGCACCTACTCTTAGCTATTTTTCAGTCGCATTTTCAGAAGGCTGAATAGGATATTTCATCATGTTTATGGTCATTCTGACCATTTCCACTGTGTTCCCAGTCATGTAAATGATTTGTGGAACTAGTTAAACTGACTGGAGGTCTAAAGAGAACTCTGTTATCTTGGTTCAAAAAATTTTCAAAATCCAGCATGGTTTTGACATTTTTTGTTTTTATAGGAATGTTTTTTTGGAATTATAGTCACTCAAAGTTACTGAGCATCCAGTATTGAGACTTCAACTGTGTTGGTGAAGTTACACATATTTCAGTCAAATTCATGCTGAGCACAACATTTTGGTTTCAATTTTATAATCTCTATACATGACCCTGGTGATGAAGAGTCAGAATCAGTCAAAAAACCTAAACCAGAAAACTGTGCTCATTGTGAAAACTAAAAGTGAAGCAACTTTTTTTCTAATATTTCTTACATCAAATGGCAGCCATCTTGTTTTTCCCACTTCAAATTAAACTGGCGGGAAATTCAAAAATTTGAAAAAAATTTTAATCCTTAAATAGATTTCAAAAATATGATTCCTTTTTAATTATTCTTCATGGGTCTTAAGTTATTTCTTCTTTGTATGTCATACATGTTGCCATTGGTGTTTTTTTCTATGATAATGACTATTTTTTGTTTGTTAGATACTTATTCTGACTCTCAGAATTAATTAATGCATCAAAACTCATGAAAAAGTAAATATACTTATCAAATATAAATAGGACAGTAATAAAAACCATATTTCACATACATTTGACTGAGGGACCAAAAGGGCATATACCTGGACACATCCTCTAATGAATTCATTGTAAAATAAAAACATAAAAAAATGTGAAAAAATTACATGAAAAGTGTGTGCAATAAATAATAAACAGTAGTTTGTATTGTGCATCTTTTGAAAACATATGATAATTTATAACTGAATATTTGATTAACAAAACAGCTATGACATAAGGGAAACAGCTTACGTTTGCCAGATCTGACAGGGGTACGTCTCTGTTGTGGAGTGCCACCAGGTGTCGCCTCTGATGCAGAAGAGATGTTCAATCTTAAATGAAGCATTAACATTATTTGAACAAGGGTTCAGTTATTTGGTTAGTAAGATGATTAAGGCAACACTAACTTTCAAGCACTAACCATTTCCCTGATTCAATTCTCATCTTCAAATAAATTGGAGATCTTAAAATCACCAACTAAATAAACTGAAGTACATTTTTATTTGATATGAAAAAATCAGAACTTCAAACCTATTTGCAACACCATTTTACCAAAGTTAGGCTATTCCATTTATCACCATCATTTTAACTTACAGTCGTTAAACATTATGTAGGCTATTCCATTTACCTTGTTTCCTCCCCCTCAATCATCTTCCTGTATGCAGCAATCTCAAGATCGAGGGCAATCTTAATGTCCATCAGATCTTGGTATTCAATAAATTGCTCTTCAAGCTGCGTCCTGAGCGCTCTGATTTCTTGATCACGTGAATCAAGTGCAGCCTCGTGCGTGAGACGCTCACTGGAAAGCTGTGACTCAAGGTCACGTACACGCGCCTCAAGTTGAGTATTCTGTAAATTTATGTACATTTTTTATGATTTATTTTTAAAAAACAATGTAAGCTTTTATAATTAAGAACAACAATTACACCTCCACTTATTCACTAATATTACAGACATCAATTTTAATCTAGCAAAATTGAATTATAATGTTTTGAATGGTATAGTACAATGGAATAGGCTAATATATAAATTTTTCTTGGGAGTTTTGACATCCCTGATTGAGTCTAACCCTTGGTTGCAGACTTTCGGTATTACAAAGATCAAGTGAAACAGGGATAACATAAAAAGTAACAAATAATTAGTCAAGTTTTACATAAAAAAAACTTACGAGAGAGCTCAGTTGAGAGATTTGCGAGTTCAACTCTGAAATCTTCTTCTGGGTGGTTCGCAATTCATCTCGAGTGTTGGTGGCTTGTTGGCCATTTCTGTCTGCCATGTTCTGTAGGTCTTGCATCTATAGAACAAAGAAAAATTTATAGTTCGAGGTAGGGTCGAATCCAAAAACAACAGTCAATATGTGATTTTCTTTGGGCCTTTTTTTACTAAAATTGCCAATTCTATAGTTTTGAGGAAATTTTGAAGGAATTTTGTGGAACTTTTTCCATGTTAAAACGACAATATCCATTAGTTTTGCCTGCTAAAAATTCTGTTTAGACCAAAACCTTAAATAAATTTGAGAGATATGAGAGATTGATTCTTCCTGAATGAGTGAACCATATTTAGAGAAAATCCAAAAGACTTTGTCTCATACATACCTTTGCCTCATACAGAGTTTCAGTCTCTTCTCTGTAGATTCGCATCTGGATCTCGTGAGCTGCGCGCATTTCCCGAAGAGCATCTTGAAGTTTGTTCTCATACTGTCTGTTAACAGAACCATCTACTTCCTCTATAGATGTCTCTAAACGAGTTCTAGTCTCATTCAACTCCTGTGAAATATATATATATATTTTTTTTATTTTTTATTTTTTTTTTCAGCAGTAATATTACATACATTTAGTGTCACATTATTCTATCACATTTACAACTTTTAGTATTTTCCCCTTTGGAGTGAATTACAATAACTTCTGACAATATAAATTGTAATTGCAGTTTCAGTTCAGAAAAGGTGTCTAAAAGTGACAACATGGTTTTGAAACATTCCCGGAATAAATTCAAAAGAAATCAAGCAATATCTTAACTCTTTCAAACATCAAAATTGAACACAATCTTTCCTAAGTTCACTTTCCAGTTAAATATATAAATCCAACATTTACATATGATTTCTGTCTGCAAAATTACTTCAAATCTGATCACTTTATGAACAAGGCACAGGACGTGAACGAGATCACACCATCAAATAGGCAGACACTATGAACCAGGAAAACTGTTCTCCTATTATGTTTACAAATTTCAAGAACAAGAAAACAAGATGGCCGCCCAAAAGTTAATCAGCTCTAGTACTTGATATCCTCTATCATTTGTGTAAATTTGAAGACGACAACAATATAGCACTTTTTCAAAGTGCGATAAAAACCTTCAAAATGGCCACCAAAAAACAAGATGGCCACCCAAAAGTTAATCAGCTCTAGTACTTGATATCCTCTATCATGTGTGTAAATTTGAAGGAAATCCGATGAGCGGATTTTCTGAAATGGTGATGACAAGATTTTTCGAAAAATCTTCAAAATGGCTGCCAGAAAACAAGATGGCCGCCCAAAAGTTAATCAGCTCTTGTACTTGATATCCTCTATCATTTGTGTAAATTTGAAGGAAATCCAATGAGTGGTTTTCCTTAAATGGCGATGACAAAAAGCGGGACGATCACGACCAGTATGACGACTATATTCCACCGATGGTTTGATAAAAATCTCCCCATAAATGAACTACTGGACTAACCTGTGCGTGTACTCTGGAGTTGAAGTTGAGCTCTTCCTTCAGAGACTGGTACCTATTTTCAAGGTCAACCCTTAACAAAGTCTCCTCCTCTAGCTGTTTCTTAGCTGTTGCAAGTTGTTTTTCAAGGCCATTTATTAATCCCTTCATGCTCTGAAATTATACAATATTGAATTAAAAGTTGTTCTGGTCTCCGGACAGTGCCACTTTGTTTTTTAAATCCAGGGATAAGGACATTACAGATTCTGAACTTAAGAATGCAAATACGTTATAGTCTATTTAAGTGAAACAAAATAGATTGAGTTTTGATTTTCTCAAAACATTTTTTTTAATCCCAGCTGTTCAGAGCTATCACTTCTGAAAGTATAGCATTTTAAACAACTTTTACCCTTTTGGAACAGATTAGAATATTTATATCATATTCTTGTCCAAACCATTTCTGTACAAACAATACTTTACATCATATGAATGCAAAGACAAAAATATAGTGAATAATATCAAAATGGCTGAAAATACGGATCCACAGCTTGTACTATCCATAAAGAGGGATTCAAGACAAACCAGAAAATTGAAAATTAGCTACCAGAATACAGTCTTACCTCTGATAAACCAGCAACAATGAACTTCCACATTTTGACTAAATGTATTTTTTTCAGTCACTTTGTCCTTTTCTGCATTCAATTTATTTTGACATTTCATTACATATGTCACTGACTTATCCCAAAATGACTTAAGTTCAGAAACATTCACATACGTACTATGCTCTTCCGAGACCCATTTTCATAATGAACTTTCAGCTATACTCCATTCATAGATTTCTTTATAACTTGAATGAAACACACAATATCCTTGCATTTCTATGTAATTTTAAGTATATTCTCTTAGACATTGTACAATATTCCTAGCTAATTTCTCTCTTTTGTATTTTCCATATCAAATGTCATATTGTATGTGAGTTTTTATTTACAGGCAATCAAATGCAATTCAGCCAATCTTGCCAAATAAAGTAAACACACAAGATGATCAACTATTTGTGTGATAATATTTGGAATCATCTCATATAGATAAGTTAATACAGCATTGTAAATAAGACAGTATTGTGTTTGCAAGTCAGTGACCAATAAACATTGATTATTCAATTGTTGGTTATGTATGCACTTCTTGTGATTTGTCTTTGACCTATGACTGCTGACCTGTACCGGCGATTACTAGAGTGCTGCTAACTCGATAAAAGGCTGGCGCTGGCTAGAATTGTCTATGGTTCTAGCCAGGATAAAGATACCAGTTCTTCAACTCGACAATGGGAAGAACTGCCCTACCTTAGTGACTAATATGTCATTGATATGACATCTAAAGAGTCAATAAAAGATATATATATAATATTGAATTGTGATCAGTTTCAAACTTCTGAATGCAAAGTGACTTGAAATTAAAATGGCCAAATGGTCAGTTGTTTGAAGATTCTACATTTGTGCTTTATGTACATAACAAATATCAAGTCTTTTTTATTATAAAAAGTTCATAATTTCACAATATTCTGTACTTCAACAGATAATACAGACTGTGGATCCCATTCAACAGATAGTACAGACTGTGGATCCCATTCAACAGATAGTACAGACTGTGGATCCCATTCAACAGATAGTACAGACTGCTGTGGACCCCATTCAACAGATAGCAAAGACTGTGGATCCCATTCAACAGATAGTACAGGTTGTGGATCCCATTTAACAGATACTACAAGCTGTGGATCCCATTCAACAGATAGCACAGGCTGTGGATCCCATTCAACAGATACTACAAGCTGTGGATCCCATTCAACAGATAGCACAGGCTGTGGATCCCATTCAACAGAAGCACAGGCTGTGGATCCCATTGAACGGATAGCACAGACTGTGGACCCCATTAAACATATATTACAGACTGAGGATCCCATTCAACAGATATTACAGACTGTGGATCCCATTCAACAGATAGTACAGACTGTGGATCCCATTCAACAGATATTACAGACTGTGGATCCCATTCAACAGATAGTACAGACTGTGGATCCCATTCAACAGATAGTACAGACTGTGGATCCCATTCAACAGATATTACAGACTGTGGATCCCATTCAACAGATAGTACAGACTGTGGATCCCATTCAACAGATAGTACAGACTGTGGATCCCATTCAACAGATAGTACATGCTGTGGATCCCATAGTGAATAATCATAACTATAATACTTACATTATATTCTGTCTCCCAATGCTTCCTCTGTTTCAAGGCATCAGCAAGTTTTGCCTTAAGATCGCCATTCTCTGTTTCCAGAACCAAATTCCTCCTTTCTGCATTTTCCAGATCTTTCTTTGCCTTGTGGTATCTGCAAAACAGATGTACAATTCATTCACTTTAGTATAAGCAACTTGCTAACTACAGATAACAACTGGTATAAAATTCTCAATCTGCTTCAATGTCTCAAGAGCCAAAATTTGGCGACTTTTAAATAATTCTTGAAATTCTCAACTCAATTCTCAATTTAATTTTTCAAAAGTATTTTTCAAATTCTTAATGTTGCTCAAATGAACATGGTTAAGATACTTAAATTTACTATGAGAATTGACTGATTAAACTTTTAAAGGTATCATATCATGGCTTTCTCATATAATATTCACTTAAATCAACACAGATCAAACTACAGGTTTTAATTAATTAATCAAGTCAGGGATTAGTAAAAGAATAATATGGCAATTAAACAATGCCACCATTCAATCAATCAATCAAAATAAACAAAAGGAAAATCAATTTCATTCATTCAATGAACATTCTTTCAAATAAATACTATATTGACCACTGATCAGTATCAGTCAGTATAGATAGTGAGCATCAGAGATGCTTAACACTTAAAACACTGGTCTAAAATCAACAAGACCAACATATTGCCTAGAGTTCTTTGCAATAACTGCAATAAGTTGAAGTACACTTTAAAATATTGAGTTCTATAATGAGTACAAGAGACCACAAAACACTTAATTAAAAACAGTGGCCTAACTTGAACGAACATATGGCCCATAGTTCTGTTGAATTTCTATCAGTTGAAGTACACTATACAACTACAATAACTGTTATAACCTTGTTGACACCCTACATCTAAAATAAACAATAAATCACTTCTGATAAACCATTTAGTACAGACCTTAACTTGTGAGATATCAATATTGGTGAATGGCTATCACATCTTATCAAATCATATCAAACACACACTTCCCTTTATGACCAGCACTTAAAACAAAGTACCAACAAAGAGGCTGTGATTTTGATTGAAAATAAAACTGAAAACATCAGATTTGGCAGAAAAACTCAGGAAATGTGTCGTTTAAAGTGAGGGAAATTAGATAAATTTCATATTCTATAGATATGAGAGAGATCCAAGTGGAATAACATGACCTTGATTGTTATTTTGAGCATGGGAATCATGACCTTAAAATGCCCTGGGTTTTACTACAATTTCACTTGCTTATCACAGTAATATGAAAGTTACTACATCCACTCAATATACATACAGTGTAACCAGTTATTAAGAACATGCATTATTCTCTAACTGTAGTGTTTATATTTCAAAGTGTTGATACATTCAGGTGTTTACATTTGAATTCGTTTCTTCTTTTTAGGATGTATTCACTGTTCTTCAACAATTGTTCCTTCCACCTAGCATCTATATGGTATGTTAGATGTAATCTAGAAAGTGGTTAGAATTTCATGTTCTATTCGTTTCCTTAATTTACCCCCCCCCCCTATAATCAAACTCTGATAACAAATCTTTGTTTATCAATAACAATGCATCATGTTAAGTGAACTGACTGGATTGGTTTCCATGGTTGCTTGCAATAACCATAGAAACACACTGATTCATAGACCAGGTTTGCTGTTACTATAGCAACTAAACAAGTTCATCCATGTGATTAGTGGTTCTTCTCTTGAGATAATCAATACAATATTACACACCTGACTATGGTGGTCAACTGCAGAGATTATGAGAGTATCCTTGTAAATTGCTACTTTTATGTTCAACCAAAACAAAGCATCTCTACAATGAAGACTGAAGATTTGCATTTAATTACAGTTCAAGTCAGACAGAGGTCAGAATGACACTACCCTTTTTAATAGCTTGAAAGAGAGCTTCATCTACTAGTCTCTGAGATTTAGGGTAGAATGACACGTACTTAATTCAAGACAAATCAAAATAAGCATAATTTTGGATACAAATCCCAGTCTCATAAATTCTGTTTTTATAACTACTCTGAGACTATTTGCCACAGTATACCTTACTCCCTCTAACTAGGACAGATCACTTTATACTTTAAGCATTGAATCAGTCAGATTATCCCTCAGGCATGCATGCTAATATCTTTTTTTGGATATATTTTTTTTAGTCATTACAGACTTCATTGACAAAACTTTCAACAAGCCAAAGAAGTGTATTTGAGGAGCTATATGTTCTGATTGGCTAAGCAAGTTCATTGGTTGACTAAAGAGGGCCAGACTTTTGAAAAGGGTGCTGATAATTAAACACCCACACAACTTCAATTCTAAGAGGGAATGTGAGGGAATACAGGGATTCAAAATTATGAGTCATAGTTGACAGGTGTTTCACTGAACATTGAACAAAAGTAGTTTCAAGAAGACTATAATTAAATTAAAAGAATTTCAATTTATAAATGCAATATCCCCAAGACAAAGACAGTGTTCTCACCAGATTGAATAGAGACTGGTGAACCTTGTGTCTAATCTTCTGACAATATAAAGCAGCAAATAAAAACATATAACACCCGAGCCTGCATTCAAAAAATATTTCATCATCACTAAAAATACGAAATTAACAATACAAAGCTTCAAAAAAACCAAAGAAAAAATGTCACCTGTCATTAAGAAGTCCTTTTATGACATAATTAGCAGATTATCATCACTGTTTGGACAAAAACTGATGAAATACTCTTGGGATACTCTGAAGGCATATTACTTTGAACAATGGAATGCAAATTTATCAAAATTCTCTGGTGGGAATCCTGAAATTGTCTCATCTTTTTAAAATTAATGCAGGACTTAATACCTAGTACTGTACTTGATAAGATATCTATTAATGCATGTTCTACAAATGTTTTCCCGTATATGGAAGATAACCTAATAGTTTTTTAGGAGGAGAGTACAAACCAGATAGAGATAAGCAGTAAATCATATATTTTGAAAAATGGAAGTGGTGTTAAGATAAAACAGGCTTTACTGTACCTGGAGTCGGAAGCAAAGAATCATTGAAGAGAATTAGAAAGGGGCCCTATTCACAGACTCACAAGATGAAAAATGTTGATATTTTGATGACAAAAAACAATTCCTCCAAAGACATGTTGCTTTTGCAGTCATTTTCCTATAACATTCCAACTATACATCACACCAACACAAATATGTGACTCTTAAACCACATTTAAAATAAAAACATTGGAAGACCTTGTCATAAAATCACAGTTTGATTGAACTATGTATGAAATTAAAGCCAACAATCCAATCTACCCCCCCCCCTTCTTCACTGATTAATGACCACACATGTTTAAGTCACATCACCTGGTTATATGACATACCCCCTACCCCCTTCTCAATCAATTACTGCTTGAATGGGATAATGGACTTTCTCATTGTTACTTTTTAAAAAGGCAGCTAAGAACATGTAGTACTTAACATTAAAATACATATACCAATAAGGCACAGTGTCATATGCTTTACACTGATCCCTCCATGGAGTACTTTGTTCAGTGGGTGGTAGCAGGCCATTTCATTAACTGAAAACTAAGGGAATCATTTTAACTTTCCGCCTCTTTCAAAAATTTGCATTTACAAAATATATTCCATTAACTAGAGTACCATCATGTGTCTAGCTCTAGAAGGCCGGCAAAATAAAATACAGGACATCTTTACAGGTACATATAAAATTCAGTGCATCACTTTTGAGAATTGACCCCTAAATGGTGTTGTTGCTTGTAAGTACTGTGACCCTATATGACACACTTTATCAAAACAATATTAAAATATGAATAATATTAACCCAAGGGTTTCACAAGTGTTTCTTACAACAGGCTAATTAGATGAAAACAATAGGCAATATTAATGGAAATCAAAAATTTAACATGGAAAAGTTGAAAAGCCCCTAAAAACAACAGGCAATTTTGTGAAAACAGGTTAAAATTGCACATTACCTGCTGCTCATGAAACCCCTGGACCGAACCCAGTGTAAGAAAATCTAGAATATTTCTGTACATGTATTTTTTTACTGGAAGAACAACTTTAATTCAAATAGAATACAGTCTCTGATATCCCAGCTTTTAATGAGTTTATTAAAACTGCCAAACACAAACAGGCTTAAAAACATGGTGCAAAATGTTTAAAAAATCTTTTGAAATGGAGTGTAGATTCATGTACTCTTTTTGACAAGCTAAGACACGACGTATTTGTTAACATTTCCTAAGGACCGACCAATTATACCAAAGTTATTTTAAACCAGAATTTTTATCTAGTACAATATAGTTTTGAATATAAGACAAATGTCTTGACCTCGCGTTTAATGTGTCAACATCCAATAAACATAGTTATGCTATTTACAGTCATAAAAAAATAAGAATAAACCAGTCGAAAAGCAATAAATAACTACTGTATGAGGTTTTGAAAGTAACGGTAATTTTGAAAAGCCGAATATGTAAATTAATTACAATGTGGTATAGTGCGAGTTAATATTTACTCTCTAGTTGATTTAGTTTTTTTAATAAATGATAATATACAGTCCTTTGTGAAATGACAGTTCAGTAAAACCTGTCAAAATGAACATTTCCTGAAGAGGAGAAAAATGTTCATGAACCTTGAAATATAATCATCTTTTGTCTATACTTATCCTAATTACACCAAAGTTCATAATGTAATTCTTAATGATAGTAAATAGATGACAAAACTATATGTAGGCAATATCTATGAATGAAATTTAGACACAACATGTAATAATAAATAAAGTCACTTGTTGCAACTATAAAGGTGTTTGCTCAATACAGGTTTAACAGTATCTTGAAAAAGGCGTTTGGAACCTATCTTTCCAGTGAAGTAATTGCAGTAACAATAGCATCTAGTATTTATTTATCCACTATTATAAATATTAAATAAACACGTTTAAAAATCGAAGATTTTCTGAAAATGAACTTTGCTGATTTTAGAAGACGCAACAATGAATAATATGAGCCTAAGAACAATCATAAGATAACATGATTCTCTGTTAACTAAAAAATGATGAAATGTATTTAGATTTAACGTACCCTGTTGAGAAGAAAAGATGGAGGTAACACTTTTTATCTGGAGTCTAAATACTGAATAATGTGTAAAAAATGAAACATATGTCAAATACCAGATTAGAACCAGGATATACAACAGTCAAACTGTCAAGTACATGTGAGATCATTATAACTCACAACCAATTAATTGACTTATATCAATACTCAATTACTTAATTACACAATCTTATGGGTGAGATTTCCCCTTAATATATAATTTGAAATTGAAACTACTGTATAATTTAAAAGTTGGCATCATGGATGGGCAAAACTGGTAAAAATCATTATCTAATCAGGAAACAGTGACATTACTCCAGAAAATCTCCCAGTGCCTGCCACTGAAGAAATCTCTGAACATTGAAATCTGTTTCTAACTTTATTGACAACCCTGATCAGATTTTGAACCTGGGGCAAACAACAGCTGTTTATGTTTAGGCTAAAGTGATTATGTAACACAGTGGCCATATTTAAATATAAGCTTATTTAGGGCACACTTTATATAGATTATATGATTGTGGAGTCATTAACACTGATTATATAAACTACTGGGACACTTATTTGATAACGTTGTTGACATGATAACATTGATATCTTGAAATCAGAGGGGTTGCCTGATAGCATAGTGATTTCTGACACTTTTTCAAATTGAATTGACTTCAAATGGACTACTGTAGCAAAGTTCTTTGCATGTACATGTAAAAGTTTAAATCGTTCCAGAAAATATTCATATTTTTCCAAACTAGGTGAACTTTCATGACCTCTGATAGAAGTCATGTTCGTCACAGAATATGCATACATTAGCACTAACCAGTTCGTACAATATCAAACTCAGTGATAACATACACAGAATAGATTCTAAACCAGAACACACAGAATAAACCACACCCATTGTAACAAACAAAGCAAACCACAAAAACAAAGGAAGAACAAACAAACAAAACAAATGAAAAACATATATTGACATGAAAATACATACTTGACCATCCAGTCTTCACATTCTGTTTTGTATTTTCCAGCTTCGATCTGAAGTTTCGCCTTATCCTTGGCAGTTTGGTCCAAGAGTAACCGGGCATCTTTGATTTCTTTCTCGTAAATTTCTTTGATATTGCTCTGCTCACTGACTCTGGTTTCTTCGGAACTGCGGATCGTCACCAGCAGACGACTATTTTCCTGTTCAAGAGCCCGTACACGGTCTATGTAATTCGCTAGACGATCATTGAGCCCAGAAAGCTCAGCCTTTTCTTGTAACCTACTTATTCGGTTCGGAGAAGGAGATCGAGCACCCCGAGCTGCACTACTTGGCGTTGATTGTGCTTGTGGGGACGATATACCGGAGGAACTGGCTTTCTGGCTGGTAATCGTTGTGGTCGTCGTCTTCCGCACCTTACTAGCCATCCTTACAGGTTATGTTTAGCTGTAAATAATCCAATTTGGTGAAATTATTTCTCAAATATACCCACGCTTCAAAAACAATATGGCTGCTACCGGCTTCGCTTTGATGTGTCACGTGCTTCCGGTTTCAGCTGCTGTTGGCCTACTTTCACTTTCTCTGTATTAGGCCAACAAAAATTAATATGCATTTCACATGTATTACTCAGAAAAACATCAATTTTACTCAATATATTTTTAGGCTGCTGTGCATGAGCCTAGATGAATTTACGCCTCTTTAATAATATGATTAACCTTATAAGCCGAGATATCATAGATATTAAATGAGTTAGCCCAAGTCAAGCTGAGTGTCCAACGTACTGTATGCCTAAATATATGTTTATCCACATAAGAAATATTTTCTTGTAATTGGAAAAAGCGGATTTCTATTCCCAATTCAATAAATCCTCACATTTACTTTGTAAAGATATTATTCTCTTTTATATTTGTTGAAACCAAGATGTAAAACAAGGACCTTCCGAGGCACTAAATAGTGTATTTTTGAGGGGATACAGCCATAGTTTAGCTCAAAAGTCCATGAATTGAGTCGTGAATCAATTTTAAATTAAAATGCAGATACACATTACTTCCCTCCATAGGTCTGTCAATCGGAGCCTTTTTATTGGATAGCAGATCAAAGCATTTTATGATTTTGATACTCGTTTACATTTAATAATGAATATTCCAAAATGGACTTCCGATTCCGAACTTATCGAGGGAGTTTACTATCTCTAGTAATAACGTTTTCAACTGTGCAAACACCACTTGCGGATCTGGGGGGGGGGGGGGGCAGGGGCCCGCCCCCCCCTTGGGTGGGCCCAGAAAAAAAAATTGTGCCCCCAAAAAAAATTGAGCCAAAAAAGGCCCTAAGGCCCCAAAAAGCGCGGACGTTTTTTTCTCAGACAAGAAGTTTGGGCCCCCCCCCTTGTTGGTTCCCAGATCCGCCCCTGAACACGATGCAACGGTTGTGGTCCGCTCATTATACCGATTTGCCAAATGATTCCTGGGTCTCTTATAGAGCATATGGCATACGGCCATTTATAGGTAAAACAATATTACAGTGGTAAAGAAAAGAGAAACAAGCATACTACCTAGTACCTTTCCTCCGACATTTAGAATTTTGCGAATCTTGTAATCACGCACTTGTAATAATAGGCGATCACTGTATATACAACTTGTATTCTGTTGCTATTGCCTGGTCTTCCTGATGAAATGTGCATGACTTTCAATAATACTTATCAGTCTTCTACTCTTATCATACATCTTCCATTACAAGCCTTTTGACATCACAAAATCATGGTGTCGGACTGTCGGTGTACAGTAATGGTTTTCGGTACAACGCGCATGGATTTCGGTACAACGCGCATCGGTACAATGTGATGATCACAAACGGTTCAAGGGGAAAACCTAGAAAAAGGGGGTGGGGCAGTTGTCACATACACCATTTTAAAAATGCATCGCCAGATTCAGCTTACAAAGAGACTTGGATAGTGGAAGTGGATATTGGGAATTACTAGGACAGAGGAAGAACATCGAAAGTGTTAATTTTATATTGAACTTTTGAAAGTTATTGTTTTTTATATTGATTTGTGCAGTTGTTCATTGATAAGTTGATAGAATTAATAATTACCCTACTTTATAACTTATTCCAAGAGCGTATCTCATATTTGCAACAATGAAATATATGGAAAATAATTTGACAGATTAATAGATTATCAATTGTTACTTGCAACACCTCCGCTTCAACTTTGAACCATTCGGTTATCTCATCCTCACAAGCATGCAAACTTTGTTTTTGGTAAACACTTATAACGCAATCTCGAATTTGAAGAGCTGTAAATCTACTTTTTCAGTATGTCTACTTCAAACTGTCTTCTTGTCCCAGGCTCCTCGTCCGTCCTACTCGAATGGTCCCTTTCGTAACAGGATGGACATTTTTGACAACCTTTTGTTCGGTTATAATATATCAGTTTCAGTCAAACTTTGATATGCTCGGTAGTGTTATGGTGACGACATTTGATCGCAAAAGTTATTAGCAACCTCAGTCGAGATAAAAATACGAATTGATGACTCAGGTGTACAATGGTAATAAATAAAAAATATAGCTATCTCAAGGGTTTGATTACTTATTTATACAACGATATAACTTAAAATACATCAAGAATATTAACTAGCACATCGTAGTGTGGAAACATGACAAAATGGGATCCAGTTATTCTAGAATACCCAAACTGCCCTTTCAACACATGAAACGCCTAGATGAAATTGTACAACTTACTGCTAAAAAGGTGAACATAAGCAACATATATCAACAGAAACAATTAGAAGAACACACTCGTCACATAGAAGAAATAGTCAGAATCATAAATGAAAACAACGGAAAGTTTAACCCAGCATTCAAGAGTACCGTTGTTCCACACGGAAGTTACTACGACAAAACTAAAATTGTACGACCTGATGAGTACGATTACGGGATGATCTTGGAATTATCTCAGCACCCGGGTGTAGAAGTCGTAGATGTCAGTTCAAAGTGCAATCTAAAAGAGAAGGGATATGGCTACAGGCCCGTAGCCAGGATTTGCCAATGGGGGGGGGGGGGGGGGGTTCAGTTTTCAAAAATTTCCAGGGGGGGTTCACATTTGACAATTTTGGCCCAAATATGACTAAAATCACTAGCAAAGTGCTCAAAATGGTGAAAAACTACATGATTTTGAAAGAATTTTTGGCCAGGGGGGGGGGGGGGGTTCGCCCGAACCCTGCGAACCCCCCCCTGGCTACGGGCCTGTGGCTATGTAAATGTTAGCTCAAAACTTCTGAAAGATCTGTATCTGCCAACAACCAAAGCATTGAATGGTTCATCAAAACGAAGGCTCAATACCCTTTTTGTATCTCAGCAACTTAAAACGGCTGTGAAATGGTCCCTGAAAAAACTGAATAATCTTAAATTTATAGGTGAGAAAGACCATAGGTATCCAGCCGAATATGAAGATGGGGCTATAAGTATACATAGATCTCTCCACAGCCCGAGCGTTTGGCTTAGACTCGGCACTAAGCTTTGTACCACTGACATTGATTTGACATTTTGTTTTGAACGAAAGCGCGTAGGGGCATATACATCTGTAATGATTCCCTCCTACGGGAGTGATTGTCATCAATGTTGTGAATTCTGCTGCCACTGGATGGAATCAATCGTTCCGAATCCCCCCTTTAGTAACATTTTTGAATTGGATAGACCGCATCATGCGCTGTATTTGACCCTGAAGTTCACTGTTCGTCTGCTGGTAGAGAGCTGTGGCAGCGACATCTATATGAGGAAGAAGGTGAATATATCTTCTCACTTTCTCAAAACGATGTTGCTGCATCACCAAAACACCTGCCAGACGAGCAATCTCGATGGATGTTTTGGTGGCATTCTCTTTTGAATCAAAGTACGCAACTGGGTGATACATGTGATGAATAAATTCCGAATCTCAGAAAATTCATTACACTTGACTGTGGACTAAAACATTTAAACTCTAAGTATGCGTTTTCTGGCTATTGGTCACATTGCACGCTTCTGTCCAGAGGAGGAGAAGGAGGAGGAAAAAGATGAGGACACACCGGAGAAAGATGCAGAGGATGAAGATGAAGAAGATCAGCAGCAAGATAACAACACCACAACAGGAGACATAGTGGAACCAGATGAAGATGATGAAGCGAAAGCAGAAGATTCTGATGATGAGAAACCAACAGTAAAGACAGTTGATAAGGCTAGCGAAAAAGTGTACCCTTTATTTGATAAAGGTGTCAAGACTCAGACTGTTGCCTATGAAAGTGACAAAGTGAAAAAGAAAGGTTACGGTGTAAATGGTAAATCAAACACACCATTGAAAACAAAGAAAAGGCAACAAGTGTTTACACCCCCCAGTGTGGAAAAAGGTGGGAAACTTGGGAAGAAATCATAAACATTTACATGTAATACTCTATGAAGATATGTACGCTTAATGTTAGAGGCTTAAAAAACACAAGAAAACGTAAAGTAATTTTCAATTGGATAAAGGCAAACAATTTTGATTTGGTATTTTTACAAGAGACATACTTTAACAATAACGTACATAGTTCATGGAGATCACAATGGGGTGGAGAGATATGTGGAATCCCAGGTATAGGGGATAAAAGTAGAGGACAAGTTATACTAATTAATAAGAAAAGTGACATTGAACTATTAGAAACATATAACTCAAAATGTGACGGAAGGGTACATATAGTAAAAGTGAGACATGCAGATAAAACAATGACACTGTTTAATATATATGCACCAAATAAAGATGCTGAGAAAATTTTATTTTATAAACAGCTTACAGAAATTTATGAACAATATTCAGGTACTGATTCCATTATAGCAGGAGATATGAACTGTGTCTTGAGCAATGAAAATGACATTGTTTCAGGAAATGATCATAATTCGAATGCTGTAAAATCCTTCAATAACTTTGTGAATGTTTGTGACTTGTTGGATGTGTGGAAAATATATAATCCTGGAAAAAAGGATTATACATGGTCTAGAAATAATCCTTTTGTTGCGCGAAGGTTAGATTATATTTTTGTGAGTAACAATATATTTAACAAAGTAGCTCATTGTGATATTATACCAGGTCTTAACACTGATCACAAAGCTGTAATAATGGATGTAAAGACAAATTCTTTTGACAGAGGTGCTGGGTACTGGAAATTGAATAATGAATTATTGAGAAATCAGGAATATGTAGCACTTATTAATGAAATTATTTTGAGTACAGTAAATTCTTACAAAAATATAGTAAATGATCAAGTTCTATGGGACACCTGTAAATGCTGAATCAGAGATGCAAGTATTAGATTTGGTAGGCTACATGCAACAAAATCGAAATCAAAACTTAAGGAGGTTGAACATCAGTTGAAAGTTGCACAGGGAAAATTAATAACAGAAAGCTCAATTCAGAATGTTAATTTAGTTAAATGTCTTCAGTCTCAATATGACTTGATAGCAACCAATAAAGCAAAGGGAGCCCAGATAAGGTCAAAAATAAATTGGGTTGAACAAGGTGAATTAAATACAAACTTCTTTTTATCACTGGAAAAGAATCGAGGCAAAATGAAATCCATTGAATCAATTGATGATGACGATGTTATGACTAGCTCAATGGATGATGTAATGTCGAAATTGTTTGATTACTATAGTGATATGTACAAGGAAAATTCTGATATTATTTATACATTGGATGAGTTTACAAATGAAGTAACTATTCCATCTTTGAATGAGGCTGATAAGTTAAATTGTGAGGGTTTAATTGATGAACATGAATGTACAAAAGCAATAAGACAAATGAATTCTGATAGCAGCCCTGGAATTGACGGGTTGACTCCAGCTTTTTACAAAGTGTTTTGGGTTAAAGTGAAAACACGAGTTGTAAATTCATTGAATTTTGGTTTCCAATCTGGTCAGTTATCAACTAGTCAGAGACAAGGGATAATCATACTTTTACTTAAAGGGAATAATTTACCAAGAAACAAGCTAAAATCATTTCGTCCAATATCTTTAACATGCTCAGATTATAAGATTGGGGCTACAGTTCTTGCAAACAGATTACAAGTGGTCATTAAAAAGTTAGTAAATAGTGATCAAAATGCATACCTTAAAGATAGAGGAATACACCTTAACCTGAGATTAATAGATGATGTCATGAACTTTATATATAATGATGACCAAGAAGGAATTATTGCAGCACTGGATTACAGCCGGGCTTTTGATTCAATTTCTAAAAAGTTTGTATTTAGAGTTTTGGAAAAGTTCAATTTTGGGCCAGAATTTCAAAAATGGATAAAAGTTTTTAACAAAAATACAAAGTCCATGGTTTCTAATAATGGAGTTTTCACAAATTCTTTTAATCTAAATCAAGGATTGAGACAAGGTTGCCCTTTGAGTTCTCTGATTTTTATTATATCAACAGAAGTGTTTGCTTGCAAAATACGTCAAGATAATAACGTTGAAGGCATCAAGATAAACAACACTGAAATCAAATTGACTAGTTATGCAGATGACACAACGATTTTTATTAAAAATATTAAATCCTTGGAAAATATACTGATTCATTCAAATAATTTCTATAAAACTTCTGGACTAAAACTAAATATGATTAAAACAAAAGCAATGTGGCTTGGAAAAAATAAGAATAATGTTAATACTCCATTGGGAATTGATTGGCAAATTGGAAAATCAGCAAAAATTAAAATACTAGGTGCTTATTTCTCTAACCATAAATCAGCACATTTGTTAGATGAAAATTGGAGAGATAAAATAGATAAGATGGAGTGCATTATGAAATGCTGGGACAAAAGAAAATTATCTTTAGCTGGTAAAGTGTGTGTGTTAAAAAGTCTCATTTCATCACAAATTTTACACATGTTAATGACATTCAAATGTCCAGATAACTATTTAAAAGAGCTCAATACAAAAATGTACACATTTTTATGGAAAAAATCAGGTAAGGGCTCAGAAAAGATTAAACGAAAAGTATTACGGCAATCATACAAAGATGGTGGAATAAATATGGTAGATGCTTTTTTAAGTCAGGAATCTCTCATTCTCACTTGGGTTAAAAGGTTTATGAATGGTGAAAATTCAATGTGGAAAGGTGTTAGTAAAATAATTTTAGCCAAAACAGGTCATGATTTTGATATTTTTATATGTAACTCAGATCTGAAAGATCTAAAACCTCAAATTAACCTAGATATGCTCCCAGAATTTTACTCCTTTCTATTAAAGACATGGTTCAAATATCGAGAGTATGATGAAGAAATCTGTAAATCAGATTTATTATGGAATAATCGATGCATTGTGTTCAAACATAAACAAATGTATTTTAAACAATGGAAGGATGCAGGTATCAATTATGTTGCTGACATACTGGATACAAATAAACATGTTAAGTCATTAGAATTTTTCAAACAAAAAATGCAAAATAATGCAGCCATTGTTCTGGAATACAATGTAATTCGCAATGCAATGATTAATAAGAAAATGGGTATGAATAGATCAAAAGGTGAGAAGATGTACAATAATGTAAAGATAAAAAACCTAACTTCAAAGGATGTAAGGAAAATGATTCTAAAGAAAGACCAAGTTGTGCCTATTTGCATTGAAAGATGGAAACATATTTATCCAGATTTAAATTGGAAAATAAATTGGCAGTTAATTCAAACTCTCAAAGAGCCACGACTTAAGAGCATTCAATATAAGATTTTACATAATATTTACCCAACTAATACTCACCTTTTCAAATGGAAAATTGAAGGAGTTGCCTCAAAGAATTGTACATATTGTAATGAGGAAGATTCATATGCACACTTTTCATTTCTTGCAAAAGAGTAAAGTCTTTATGGAATGAAGTAGAGTGCAAACTAAATGCTAGATTTGGGCACAGAATTAGACTAGGACACAAACACATTTTATTCAAGTATGAATGTAAAACAAAAAAGGAAGAAGACTACATCAATTATATCATTGTTATTGCTAAGAATTGTATAAGTAAGTACAAATATGGGGATTATCCCAATTTACTGTGCTTGTTTGATCAAGAATGTAATATTAGAAATGTATAAAATTATGTACAATGATTGGAGAAAATAAATCGCAATAAAAAAAAAAAAAAAAAAAAGTATGCGTTTTCTTTCCCAGTTCGCAATATTTTAAGTATAGTGGGGGGAATTTAGTGGAAAATATTTCAAATGGTGATACAAGCAAATTTATTGGCTTAATCTGTTATTTAAACTATTTGGAAAAATTCTGTCCCTGTGATCGATAAAACTGAACACTATTTCAGGAAAAAATTCAAGATGGCTGCCGTATATGTGTAATTCGATACAAATGACACTCTAGATTCATATATAGAGATAAATATGGTTTAAAATTATATTGATTCAGTAGTAAAGCATGTACATTATATCTAGAAATACAGTTACATTCATTAATGAGCTGAATTTGGGCAAAATGACTTTGTATAGGGATTCTACAAGGTTCTATTTTGGGAGCACTCTTATTTTGCAACAACTTTAGTCATCAAACTTGTTTTCTTGAATAATGTTGATATTTCACTCATAATTCAATCTAACATTTCAAGTTTACATGAAAACACTGTCTTACAAGTACCAAGGAGACTTTGAAGGAGTCCCGCAAGGTTCTACTACACTCCATTATTATCACAATCTCTTGGAATTCGGTGGAAAATATTCAAAATTGTGATACATGCAAATTTATTGGCTTAATCTGTTATTTAAACTATTTGGAAAAATTCTGTCCCTGTGATCGATAAAACTGAACACTATTTCAGGAAAAAATTCAAGATGGCTGCCGTATATGTGTAATTCGATACAAATGACACTCTAGATTCATATATAGAGATAAATATGGTTTAAAATTATATTGATTCAGTAGTAAAGCATGTACATTATATCTAGAAATACAGTTACATTCATTAATGAGCTGAATTTGGGCAAAATGACTTTATATAGGGATTCTACAAGGTTCTATTTTGGGAGCACTCTTATTTTGCAACAACTTTAGTCATCAAACTTGTTTTCTTGAATAATGTTGATATTTCACTCATAATTCAATCTAACATTTCAAGTTTACATGAAAACACTGTCTTACAAGTACCAAGGAGACTTTGAAGGAGTCCCGCAAGGTTCTACTACACTCCATTATGATCACAATCTCTTGGAATTCATACATAGAGATAATATGGTTAGGTTCAATCAGTACTAAGACAAGCAAATATATTTAGAAATGCTATGATCTTCTTTGATTTGAATTTTGGCAAAAAGAGTTTTATAGGAGTTCTTCAAGGTTCTATTTTGGCCCTCTCTGTTAGAACTTGAATTACTTTATAACATTCTCTAATACATTTAATATCTAAGACATAATTCAAGAATATATTTCAAGTTTGAATGAGAATATTGTCAACCAAGTATCAATGCAAACATTGAAGTAGTCTTCCAAGGTTCTACCTTAGTCCATTATTATCACAATCTCTTAATAGTATGATGAAATAAGGGCAGGTAGACAAGAACTTATCAATTATACAGACTAACATGTGGAATTGCACAATACTGTACATTTAAGTACAGATTTTTTACAAAAGCAAACTAAACATGTCTAGAGACTTGCTGGGTTTAGAGCCCCGTGTCGAGTTGTCTACAGTGAGGTCAACAGTAAAGGCCATGTGATGTTGCTGCTATAATACAGCTAATAGCAGAAACAAAGCAACACAAAGCCAACTTGCCAATTGTATGGCTTGATATAACTAAGGCAGCAGTGTACCACACAAATGAACTCAACAGCTTCGAAGCATTATAATGTTCCTCAACATGTGATTGGCCTTGAGATAGAGCACCTTGAAGGTATTCGGTTGAGATTCTCGACTGAAACAATCACCACTGGTTGGCAGCCTTTAGAGAAGGGAATCTTGGCAGGCTGCATATTACTATTCATGGCAGCTACGAACATCCTTCTGAAAGGAGCCACAAGGAGTGCAATGAATTTAAAATGAGAAATGGTAACCCACATCCAACATATTAGTATCACATTTTCATGGATTGATGGGGTCACTCTAGCAAATGACACTGAAATAGCCATTCTGTGTATCTTCACTGAACTAAAAAACCTAGTAACCTGGGAATCATATCATATGTTGCAGTTTCCTGGAAGCTCCCTGTCATTTCCTTATAGAACACTAAATGACACAAAACTTACCCAACTAACTAGGCAAGGCAGGACGGCCTAATAGAACATCCAACATATTGACCCAATTGTCAGTCACAAGTACTTCAAAATGCCTAAAGAGTCCTAAAGCAACATATGTGATTCAGGCAACAGATTGAAAGGTGACTAATTGTAATGACTATTACAATGAGACTCCTTTATTGGCCAAATGACTTGATTGTCATCACATCAGAACAATATGATAGTCCCTTTCCTGGCTGTTAAATTCTGCTGGAGTTACAGCAACAGAGTGGAACAAGGCTCTCTTAGAAATAGTGTAATGGCTGCATTGTGCAGAGCTGGCTGAATAACTGAGTGAGGTTTGATCAACCTGTTTTCCAACCTCTCTGAGTTTGTATGCAGCTTTTATGGTAGAAGCAGAAAAAATGGAAATTAAACTGACAAAAAAGACTAAAGCTGCTAATCACAACAAAACCTGAAGGACAATGGTGCCACAAGCAATTATTATTTTATTATTATTTTCATGCTGGTGTCAAAGTAATGGTGTTGTAGTTGTAAAACATGGTAAATACATTGCTAAATCAGCAAAACTCACTCAGTACTCAATGTTCAGTTGTTTTGGCAACTTCAGTTGTTTTGGCAATTTACACAAATTGATTTTGTTGTAAATTAGTGCATTTGTAAGTGTAAAGAATAAGAATGGTGTCAAAAGTGAGCCTTAAACGGCTCCTATGTAATAATGACTTTTAAAAACTGATTTTGTTGTAAATTAGTGAATGTATTTTCCTAATTATGGAACAATAGTACCAATGGTGTTAAATTAATTAAATTAAATAGAGTATCCATTGTACCAATTTGTGAGTATACAAAATAAGAAGGGTGTCAGGAATGAACCTTGCTTAACTCCTAATTATTTATTTTGACTTGAGTACAGTAACAGTATTATGTTTTATGTGTGTATGTATGTTGTATACCACAGCTCTAAACAAAGAGATAAACATGTCTAATCATACTCTGATGAAATCATAGCAACCTCTCTATTTTATGATTACATTACATTACATAGTGATACATGTACTACATAAACATATAATCATACACATATATAAAATATGTTGTGTCCTATATAGTTATAATAATCATATTATAATATCAAGTTACCTTTGAAGATGGTCTGAATGTACTTATTTGTTTTCTGTTGAAACATGTTTCTAACTTAATCCTACAGAATGATAAAATTGACCACAACTTCCTTTTTCCAATTTTATGGGGTAGGGCACTTTCAACGCTTTTTAAAAAATACTTTCAATGTTTCAATAATTGAAATCTTCATATTGTAGTATCAGGCAAAGTTATTAGATGTTTTTTAAATAATAATTAATGCTATTTGTCATTGCATTCTTTTTTTGAACCTAGAAAATGAACATTATTTTCCATTTTACGCCAAATCGTCACACTTTGGGGCCATGGGAGAGGGCTAAAATTCTGTTTAAAAATTTGAAAAAAATTCACATGACTATTTTCACCTTAAAGAACAACATTTCACCATGAGAGCATGAATTTTCCCAAAAAAAAGTTTTTTTGCCAACCCTACATGTTATTTAAGTCATACTTTGTCGGCCATCTTGGATTTTGGGGGGGAGAAGTGAAATATTCCGTCGATCACAGGGACAGATTTTTTGAAAAAGGTTTTAAGAAGCAGAAAAGCCAAAGTTTATACTTGTATCACCATCTGAAATATTCTACCTAATATAGGGGTAAATTCCCCCAACTAGTACTGAAACTTTAGAAAATTCGTATATGACATATGCAAACTTTACCAATAAATATTTTTACTCGGCATCTGACAGGGATTTCAGACTACAAAGGGAAGCGTGTAGAATACAAGAAAACATGGAGAGGATTGTGCAGATGTTTTCCATGACTGCACAGGCAATTTACGAACTGGTCATCATTAGTAGCGTCCCATTCGAGCCATATTGATTGTAGTAGCTGTTCGTTCGTTCTTATGTGGGTTCTAGCTTCGCTAATTATTAACACCAAGAGACGTTTCCGGGACGTTTTGAATTTAGAAAAATGTTTTCCTTGTCAGGGAAATGACCCGTGCGCAATCTCACACTTGAAGTTTGTCAGGAAGACGTACACGTAGTCTGTAGAACGATTTTTCTGAGGAAGAGTTGGACTCCCTCTATCGTACTAAGCTTAGGAACAGATAGTCACTTGTGAGAGTATATTAAGAGAGAAATAGGCTCACACATAAGTGAAACCTCTCCACACACAACATAATCGTTTCAATCCAACGGCACTTAGGTTTTCTAATCTGTCCCGATGCCATATTCAACAAAGTCTTTTTTTACTTTTTTTTCGGTCAACCTGTATATCAATGAATATACTTTTGTAAAGAGACAACGGTGTTTGCGAGTGAAATTTATACGTGTTAGATGAATTTTAGATGAAATCATACCCGTATCATGCAACACATTAACTGGAAAACCATTTATGTATAAAATGAAGAGAAGGGGACCAAGTATTGATCCCTGTGGCATGCTACAGTTAAAAAGCCTGCTTCAGTTGAAGACTCACCAGCAACATATATAACATCGTCTATTTGTCGGATAGGGAATCAATAAACTCAGAAGTTGACATTGAATGCCATAGGCTCTTAGTTTGAAGAAGTTTTGCGGAACACGGTCAAAAGCAACCGCAATATCAAGAAAGTGGTTTTAGAGGCTTTGTCTTGGTCAGAATTTGGAAGTAAGAAATGTTCGATTGCCATTGGGTGAGAATGGGTGTTATGACCTGGTAAAAGACAGACAAAAGATCATTTGAAATCAATCAATTTATAAAATTAAAAATAAAGAGTAATACATATTAATTTGGTTAGAAATGAAAAACTTAGATTTTCTTGAAAAGCTCCAGCCATTTTCAAAGTGGCGGTCATCTTGAAAAACATTCTTGCTTAAAACCATTTTACCAATATACATTTTTCCACCAAATATGAAGAAAATAGGTACAATAGTATTCGAGTTATTTCGGGATGAACTGACTCACTGACGGATGAACGGACGGACGGACGGACGGACGGAGGGCTTGAGTGTATCCCTACCGAACTTCGTCCGTTGGGATAATGAACAATAGTATTGTTATAGTCTCCAACTTTTTATGATGGCGTTCGGCGTCCGACGGCCGGAGTTTGGAGTTCGGCGTCTGTCACAAATGGCGGGTGGTGACATTTTGCATGTTAAAGCCTTGTTTGATATTAAGTTTGTGTGATCAATGATGTCATTTAGGGAGAACGTCAAAAGTTTAATGTAGCACAAAAAGCTATATATATTATCAGTAAAGTCCCAATCACCCCCATCCCCCTCACCCCCTGTTAACTATATAGTATGGAAAATGTTGCCACGCGCAATTTTTAACAAAAATATATCATCATGTTCCTTGTTGACAAGTCTTTCATATTCCTTAGATGGGGTTTATGTCTTTACTGTGTCATTATAGCGAAAAAAGGTTCAAAATCTGAAAAACTCAGAAATATTTTCAAAATGGAGGCGTGCAAAAAAGGATTGTGGGATGAAAAATGGCAGGTGCAATTTCCCGGGATCAATGTCGGGGAAGCTCTTTTGGGGTTTCAATAGTATAGTATGAATTTTCGATTTTATGCGCGAGAGCTCCTATCGAATGAAAATGAAAAATTATATTTTGACTAAATCCAAGCGCCGATAGTATTCTAAAGTCACCGTGTATCGATCCACTTCAGTACTCTACAGATACCCATTCGGAATTTATTAACGCCTTAGTTATTAACATATGTCAACGATGCTTAAATTAATCGTTTGATTTGTCTTATCAGCTTTGTTTTATGGACCAATAACGGAAATTAAAGTCTAATATTGAATCGTTCCTTAACATGAATAATTCGTTAAACGAGTTTGTACTAAGAACAAATCAATGTGGGTCTTGATTTAGTTTTAAGTTTTGAACTCCCCAAATTTAATGACACAAATCAAAACTCGTCAAAATAACGTTAACTTGTACAACATTCTTTTGAAATTGAGGCATTTTCAACAGGAGTTTCTTTCTGGTTGCAAGTGGTTTGATCGTATTTTAGAACCCATTTACAGAGCAGAGGTGGACATACCATTTGATCACCAGTATTCCTTAATCTAAAGTTGATGTAAATAAGTAAAACTTGGTGTAAATACTGTATAATTATATATATAAATTAATATTATTAATATTATATTATATATTATATATATATATGCATTACAAACTAGACATCTGGAACTATTTGGTTGAAAAACATTTTCTGCTTCATAACAAGACACGCCCATAACAGAAACAAGTCAAAGAAAAGTCGGATCAAAGTGGTTTTGATTAATATCATTTTATTGATGCACTTAGGTATAAGTGCAATAGTACATTTTATTAGGATTGTTATAATCAAATCCAATATGCAATTGACACATTCCATTTGTTGTGATACTTCAAATCTTCAATGTATTTGCAAATGGTACTTATGTCAGGGGCTTCTATGTAACGAATGGATTAGCATCCACAGATGCAGTGGCAAAGGCAAGTGTACAGTGTACAATGTCTGGGGAAGGGTGTTAAAGGGTTGACGAATCGCGGATATTGAAAATCACATTTTATCCATTTTCAGTAATGTTTGGTTAGGGCTTAGAATTTCAGCACATTTCAAGACTAAGAAAAATGTGTGGTACAAACATAAATTTTAGACCTTCCTCTACAACATGTGAAAAATGAAAGAATTCCTGCTAGTAATAAGGGAAATATGGCCCGTTGCAAGGTTCACTTTTTAGACCATCCTGTATATGATTTAGATATTTCTAAACTTTACAGGAGAGGGGTCAAATGACTTCCATGCCACATGCATTTTTGGAGAGAACTGTTTTTGCAGGAAACGATATTCTACCGATATGAGATCATTTTGGTAAATCAGGCGAATAGAATCATGGCCCGAATAGTACACACCTCGATAAAACGGTTTAAGACATGAGCGCATATACTTGTACTATTCTTATAAAAATGTAAACTAATTAGTTTTCAGGTACCTTGTTCGATTATACATGTTCTAGCTGCTGATATCAATTCAATATCAAAAATATTGCTGGAAAACACTAACTTTATATTTTGTATTAAATCAAAAAACCAACAAAGACAACCAACTTTTAGAATTAAGAATTTATAGACGCGATGCCATATCTCTAGTGTCCATCATTAATCCCATGGCCAATGAACTTCTCCGAATCCTGAGTTGAAACGTCATCGATTTGTCATGAAACTTTAAACCATTATTATAGGTACTTAGGTTTATTCGCAGAGCGCCTTTATCTACATTTACTTAAATACTGAATTGAGATAACTATTAATTGATGGGAATAGGTTTCCATGTCTGAGGCATATCGCGGAAATAAGTATTCTCTCAAAGACGTCCAAAGCTTAATGAAAAGACATATCAGAATACGATAAAGAATTAAGTTCGCATTTGAGTAAGGGATGTCGACGTGAACAGTGCAGCGCTAAAATTCTTTATTTTTGTTAGGTGAGAAAATAATTGTTGATTTTTATTATGGACTAAGAAACTTTGAAAAAATATTGACTTAATATGCTGCGATGCATGGAGGAATGCGTTAGAAGATATGGTCAAGTGAACTCAACCGAAACAACTAAAAACACAGATTCCATTGAAAAACCGAACGAAGATCGTTTCTTAAGAAAAATGTCACACCTTCTAATAAAATACGCCATTGTGGCCTTATTCTTAATAATTTACGGAGCGACTGGAAATGTTTCATCGGCAGGTCCAGTGGTTTATGACAAAGACCTCGAATATGAGTCTCCGTTAGACCAAGAGCACACGATGTATCTGAAATGGGGTCTGGACAATTCGGAAAGGAGGATTGTTTTCCAAGTTTACGCTAAAATTGCGCCCGATGACTGGCTAGCGTTCGGATTTTCAGACTATGGCGAGTCGTTTAATGCAGACTTGTTCTTGTTTTGGACAGATGTAGATGGAGGTCATCATTTTCAGGTAAGTTAAATTTATAATACGTGGGAACGAATTATGGGGCCTTTCTCGAATTATGGGAGCGAATTATGATGCAAGGGGATGAATTACGAGCTTTACTGATGTTACCGAAAAAATTATGTGTGTGTCCAAGATTTTATGTGAGAATATGAATCGTTCTATTCAAGAACCAATTCGAGGTCCGAATCCACACATTTATGGAAAATGTTGTTATTTTAAAAGTTAGGTCCATGGTTTCTGGCTTCAAATGTGGCCTACGGTAATTTAAAATTGAGGCCAATATTGGGCGTTTGACTAAAATAAAAATGTTGGTCCATCTTACAAAGAGGGAATGCAACACACTGGTCTTGCATGATGATATATACACTCCCCTTCATAAATTTGACAACAGGAAATCTTCATTTGGTAGCGTGTAAAAGCCTGTTCAAATTGTGCACATTTATGACATAAATGTACTTAATGATTTTTAGAGAAATCGCCAAACATAAATAGGATATTCAGTGATAAGTGATTCAAAAAGGAATTTCCGGTTTCCATTCTTATAAAGTGGAGTGTAAATTGTTTTCTCCCACTTTAGGACACATACTCCGATCGGACAGGCATTCTACACGTGGATAAAAATCAAGATTTCGACTTACTTGAGGCCGACACGAGACCAGGCCGGGTGCATATCCCAAAGATACTCTTAGCCAAAGAAGAGACGCCGGGTGGTTACGTCATATTGACGTTCCAGAGAAAGTGGGATACCTGCGACAGTAATGACTATATAATAGACGTAAGTACACGTGCTACATTCGCTGGGAGCTCACTCTCACTGGTTGCCACCTGGTTATAAAGACGCTACGTCTTTATAACAAAATGGATGAACTTCAGTTGGAGGAACTTTTCATTTTCATCCTTTTAACCAAGAAGGGGTCGATTCGTATCCAAATATTTTAAATACCCTTATGTAATAGTAACATCCGATTACTAAAAAGGTAGTCAGTCATGAGCAAATGTATCCAAAAAATTTTCCCGGCGTCCATTTTGTTTTATAATATTAAAAAGGCGCAACGTCTTTATAACAAAATGGGGACGAGTGACACTGAAAAATAACGAGATTGGCCAGGGATACATATACAATACATTACAACTTTCTGTATAATTTCCAATAAGGGGTTGAATCACAAAAAATAATTGTTTTAGGGCCACTTTTACTGTCATTAGGCGTCTTGATCAAATGTTCTCTTTTTAATCCACAGTCGGGGACCACTCATGTCATTTTCTTCACTGGTACTGGACCAATCAACGCAATTGAAGGAATGAACGTGACGTCACATATGCCGGGACTCCAGCGGTTGCAGCTATTGAAGAGTCCTATACATCCCCCTAAATTCCCGCCTGATACAAAGATGTTCGAAATGCTTGTAGAAAATGTAAGATTTTGCAGCACATATTTATTTTTTTTATATCCTTGAAACCCCGATTCCCTACGCTGAAAAGATATTAAAAACCTCCAATCCTATTTTGAGACGCACATCACCAAATCGGTATTTGTTTGAAGAATTGTGGTGCCCTGGGGATGAAGACGCGCCATATATAAATTAAATTGATATTTAAACAGTTAAACAATTAAACAGAATATGAAAATCAAGATCTGTTCAGTTCCGACACGGACCTCTGCCAGAAAAGCTCCTCTGTGTCTAGGCTCAATAAATATACTCAAGGATAAGACACGAGATCTTCGGAAAATTTATTTTTCCTTGATTTTGGAGTCAGTTTTTCAATAAATATCACATGTCATACCTCAAACGATGCGTACTGTTGTTACCTTCAACTTCAATCACTAAAGCCAAACATCCAAGAAAGCGTCTGTTGATAAAAGCATAAAATAAGCGAGCGTATATTTAATGGAGCACTTCGGCTATCTCCGTTGTTCAAATGATTATTCCCGAAGTCAAATGCCTTTTCTGAGAATGTGACGCCACTCCGGATGACGTCACATCAGAGATTACCGAGAAGTCCCATGACGTTTCTTTAAACTCCCGTAGAAACAATAACGACGGTTTATTAGGCTACGCGATTCTTTACTTTCATTGGCTGTTTGTTGCGATGTGACGTAATTTGAGAGACGAACAACATCGGACACTGCCGGAAATTACCGAAGTGCTCCATTATCTTTACGCTCTGAAAATTTGAAATAAATGTCCCGGGAAAAGTCGAATTACAGCGTCAATAATGGATATCATGCAACCATTCAAACTAATACATAAAGAAGAGATTCAGGGTAAATATTGATCAATCAATGTCTGACAGATGGAAAAAATAAAGGTCAGTACGAGGGTCATATTTTTGGGTGGTCATTTTTTTGATGTGCCATTTTTGGCTCGTGTCTCATCTTCCCATTTATCCTTTGAGCCTACTACCAACAGGGGCTGGATCTGGCTCCGGATCTGTGAGTTCCGACATCATTTTAAAAGCTGTCCTTACATCATCAATTTTCGAAAAGAAAAACCAGCAACACAGCTTGGTAAAAGAACAGCAAAAAGAAGGTCACTTGACTGTCTTCCGTGATTATGGAAATCGGGGCATTGTTTTATTTCAAGAACGGGAACGTGAAAAGTGTAGACAGTGATCCCATTTTGTAACTATTTCCTCCTTGTTGGCCTTTATTTGCCAGATTGAATATAAAGGTATAATGCAAATATATGTACTAATAATGTCCCCGTATAAACCAAATGAGACAGAGGCACATATCGAGATTTTGACGTCATTTGCTAATTAACATAATGTGACGTCACGCATGCATCATTGCAGAATTCTAATGGGATGTCCATATAGGACAAAATTGAATATCAAATAATTAAATAAATGTTAAATTGATCCATTAGCTCAGGGTTAGAAATGGTGAAGATACTAACAAAGGTCAACTGTGCAAAAAATTGACGATCAACTATGAAAATATTTTCTTCCCCCAGAAAAAACAGTTTTTTGGCAAAAATTCCTATACTTTACATGTAACCGATGCAAAAATGGCGAAATTGGCGTTATACAAATGTAATTTTTGCCTTTAATATTCTTTTAAATCGTTAGCTCAGGGTTGGAAATGAAAGAACACGACTAATACGTTTATATTAACATATTTTATTTACACCACATTTAATAACTTTTCTTCCTGACAAGTTACAAGTAAGGTCGTTTTTGAAATACGACGCCGTTTTCCAACAATAAATAGCTAAAACGTCACACATTTAACATGTTTAATTATAACATACTTTATTCATAATACAACTTATTTAACACTTTTAAGTTGCAACGATGTTCTTTTCATTTTTTCTCTACTGGAGGAGTTGATTAATTTAAATTTATTTATTTTCCAGTTTATAATTAAAGCTATGGCTTTCTAGCCTTCCTAGCATACATGGGGCACTGGGGTCTATTTCTCCAAACTCCGTAAAGTTACGGACCCGTAGAGTTACGATTTCCGTAAAATTTAAAAAGTTACGACAAAGATGCGGAGTTTCAAATTGCATTTCTCCAAACTCCGTATCGTAATCGTATTTTAGTCCGCAAAGTTACGGAGATGTGACGTCATTGTGCATTGTAAAATGCCCAAAATATAATTGTAATGATTCCAAATAAAATACATCATTTTTTTAAAAGAAGTTCCAAGATTGATAGTTACTACAATTATTTCAACTTCAAACAGTTAATGCGAACCTTAAATCTTTTATCAGCAGGTATTTGATAACATAGATGCGAGTAGGAAGTTACCAATTTCACTACCAGGTGGCTCGTTCGGGTCTATAGTAGAAAGTTTCCTTTAACTTAAATTACATCTGTTTTAGTGGTTCAATTTTCATATTACCCTTATGTTTCTAATAGTTATGAAAATTAAAATATGTCCAGTAAAGGAAAATGTTATCTGTCCAATACAAGAGAAGATATTTCACTTTTTGTGATTTTGTAACATGGGGTCTATGGGGAATAAACCCGAACTAGAAGTCAAATTTTCAAAACAAATTTAATTTTAAAAGTTGATAAACAGTTTTCGAAACCATATTTCTAGAAGTACTTTTACACGTAGATTTCAAATATGACATCACTTTGACTGAATTTTGAATATCTAATGACGTAAATCAAGATTATTTCTTCTCGCACTTAGTCTATTGTTTGTGTTATATTTTTTCAACATTTGAATTACATCTTCTAAATAGAAAACAATAAATGAAGGTTTTGTTTTTAATTTTTTGACTTCGATTACCCCAAAAATTTGGCCTCTCAGCAGGACGTTAAACTTATTGTGAACTTTTCAAGGCCCCGGATTTGAATCAGCTCTACATCCAAAATTGTGTATGGAGTTTGGTCGGATCTGTGAATAAGATATCTACAAATTTTTTGATTTTGTGATTTTTATGTACTTCGATTTGACACTTGCAATAATGATTTACTTGATGAAAAAAATCCAAGATTTACTTAATAGCAATGTAAAGAAATTTTATTTAAAACCAATATTTTCATAAAAAATCAAAATGTAGTTGCAACATCCAGCAGTTAGTTGAAATCTCTTCTTTGCGTTGTATATTATGGGGTTTCTAGATCATTTGTCTGTGAACATATTCTATCGTCACTTTTTGGACGTTCTATGTGTTACACTTAATTTCTCTGTATCTAGACGTTCAGAAGAAAAACAAGTAAAAGTAATTAAACGAAGTTAGTGAAATCATTGAATCTTGGTGAGTATAGAAACTCTAAAAATAAGAAAGACGATGAATTCTCGCGTCGGTGATAGTCCCCTCCCCCTGGGAATTATTGATCCCATTCGCTATTGAATAATATACTAGTAAATGCTGTTTTGAATAGGTTTCATGTGTACGCCAATAATTTCTCAAATGTTTTGTATGGAGTTTGGTCGGATTCGTGAATAATATATCTACTTCGAAGTTTGACAAGAAATTTTGTTTAAAAACAATATTTTCATAAAAAATCAAAACGGAGTTGCAACATCCAGCAGTTAGTAGAAACCTCTTCTTTGCGTTGTATATTATGGGATTTCTAGATCATCTAATACACGGAAGATACGTTAGTTTTCCAGTGGTGTGTGGAATTAAACCTTTTTCAAGTCAGAAAAAACTGTGCGTTATATTGATTGCTAGTCTTTGAACATATTCTGTCGTCCAATTTTGACGTTAAATGAATTCTAATACATGCAGGTCCAATTTTTGACTTAATTTCAAACATCTTGAAATTTGGCTTTTATTCTGGTATGATTAAAGAATAATGAAAGAAAGAAAATAAATAAAGTGCTGATTGTGTATCCAGCTATTTCATATTCACAAATATATACGTTACCGTAATGCCGTCAATCTGGGAATATATTTTGTCATTTGTCATTAAAATTAAATTCAATGCGTTCCGAGACCCCGAAACACTGTAATTGGGATTTTAAAGTTGGCGTTATCAAAATTAGTAGTAAAATCCCTGCGACCTGAAAGTTATATTTTAATTTGGTGCAGCTCGAAGGAATTTTACTACCATCATCCGACTTCCCTGCCTCAAGTTGAAGGGTTGACCCAATAGGTTTGTCTAATACGGGTACTTCCACGTGCGTTTTCGGAGGCGGCTCTCAATTACCCACGGATATTATAGCAATTCGCGAACTCTTCTCACCCTTCTTAATCGGTTTTCATTTCTATATACCTCCTTAGAGCTGCCATTTTGGTATAGCAGGAACGTGTTACTGATGCAAGTTACCATAGTAAACACTATGCAATAGGATGGAAATTCCTCCGTAAATAGTTATGGACAGGGTCTGAGGTGCCTATAAAGTTACGGAAAAAGAAGGCTATGACGTCATGAATATCGTAAACTTACGGAAATCCAACAAAATCCCGTAAATCTACGATTTTTCGAGAAATGCAATCTCTCCGTAAGTTTTAGAAAGAACAATGGACTTACGGATCCGTAGTTTTACGGAGTTTGGAGAAATAGACCCCTGGGCCAGTCATGAGACTGCCCCATACGCTAGAACGATGCGCAAATCATGAAAAATGGCCCATGCTTAAGTGAAAGATAAATAGTGTATAAGAGAGGTATGAATTGATTAATTTTACAATTCACCATAGCTCTCGGAAACAATATAATTTATATTTCAGTTATACTTGGGCTTTTGTTTTTTCCATCTGCGCGCCTTCCTAGCGTATGGTGCAGTCATTGATTTCCTTGTTCGTACACGTAGCGCTTCTACGGATGGTTTATGTTTTTGGGTTTTCCTATGATAGAGTGATTTGATATCATCATTGGACTTTTCTACACCCTGCCCTGTAAAGATTTTAAGGCTACCATACCTTTTAATAACACGAGGCGTAGGTACACCAAACAGTGGATGTAAGGTGTTACTCTATCGTAACCTTCTAGTTTAGATTGGAGGCCTAAGAATTCCTTTGCCCAACTTCTATCTACATCGTACTCATCAGAGTAGGATAATAATTTAATTTTACTGGGCCTAAGATCCGCTTTGTTTTGAAAATAAGACAGGAAAATTACTCGCACTCCTCTTGTTTTCATGATCTGGTTTACACTGTAAACAAGATTTGGCGCGACTTATAAAACCTCGCGCGGACGTTTTAGTACTCGATTACTGTAACGCTATTGGATCAGCGGAATCACGTGACAATAACAATAGGTTTAAAAGCACGTGGTAAAATGACGCTAAAATCTCGATATGAGTAGTCCACGGGGTCATGGTATTACACGTTTACGTTCACGTTCTCCCCAAAGCGTGTAACCTAACCTCTCCAGGGGCGTAGGAAGGTGTAAATTCAACACTACGCCAAAAATCCCGCCAAAAAAATATGAAACAATTGTGTCAATATTCTATATCAAAACGCCTATATTATGCTCGTAAAACGTCATTTTATGGTAACAGAGATTTCAAGCTTGCAATATTCACAACCTAAATGTGAACGGAAATACTTAAGCGATGCATTTGTATGGGCGATTGGTCATACGTATAGGTTGGCGTTTCGATTGCATATGCAAGCTTTAAATCCCCGATACCTTTTTAATGTGTTTTAAAATGTTCGAATGATTTTCATCATTTAAAATCGCCTTGGAAAGCCTATCTTTTAAATCTCGACACAAATCATTCTCACTTTGCTAATATCTCGAACGATTGAGACGACCAATTTCCAAAAAACAATTAGAGATTTTTTAATCATTTTCGAATAATTGAATTAAGATCTGAAGATATATAGTATTGTCGGATTCCATCGTGTACCGTGCAATACAATACGTACAGATTAAAGAAACTAGTTTGATCAATTGATATAAAGAAACGCATTCGTGATCAATGAAACAAATAAACACACCCACCACAAAGGTCAAATCGAGGTCAACGTGACTTAGGGGATGCCAAAAAATGTTATAAAACAAGAATCTATTATTTGTCAAATGAAAAAAAACTAGGTTATCGCTTTTCTAGAACTGAAATCAATGGAACGTGTAATTGAATAATCAGCATTTTCAAGTTGTTTTTGTCTTTAACATCCATATTTCAAAAAGTACTACCAATAACAATTAGTGATTTAGTAAGAAAATAGATAATTGTTGACTTAACTATAATTTCGTGTCTATGATTTTGCATAGCAACGGAATATAAATCGATAGTGAAATTGAAAAATTGGGGTAGGGGAGAATAAAAAAAATATACATCTAAATTTAAAGAGGTTCATTATTATAATTATATGATACCATAGTTAGCATAAGCATTACGGAAAATTCAGAAAAAATGTCAAAGGTATTCATCTACTAGTTTTTGAAAAAAACAGCTTTCCTCTCAAATTCGTGAAGAGAACGCGATTCACGAATATTTGGCGAAATTGTATTTATAAGACAGTCAATAGTGGCTCGATTTTCATGAAATAAAGCATGTTGGTAAGGGAATAACGCAGATGCGAGTAGGCAGTTACCAGTTTCGCCACCAGGTGGCTCGTTCGGGTCAGATAACATGGCGGGTATAGTAGAAAGTTCCCTTTAACTTAAATTACATCTGTTTTAGTGGTTCAATTTTATATGACCCTTATGTATCTAATAGTTATGCAAATTAAAATATGTCCAGTAAAAGAAAATGTTATCTGTCCAATACAAGAAAAGATATTTAACTTTTTGTGATTTTGTAACATGGTGTCTATGAGGAATCAACCCGAGCTAGAAGTCACATTTTCAAAAAAATATAATTTTCAAAGTTGATAAAAAAATTTCGAAACCATTTATCTAGACGTACTTTTACATGTAGATTTCAAATATGACATCACTTTGACTGAATTTTGAATATTTAATGACGTAAATCAAGGTTATTTCTATTCGCATCTAGTCTATTCAATCTGTTAAATGATATTTGCCAGACAGACCAATAATGATATGGTATCCACAAAACATTTCTTTAGGCTAGTGTGCTCGAGATTACTTTTACAATTTAAACAATGAGAAAATATGACTAAAGAACATCGGAAAGTTAAAAAGTCTTTTTATTCTCACTTTTCAACACTACGCACTGGCGTTTTGGCGTACATTGTTCCTACGCCACTGCTCTCTATACTTTTGCTTTTTATCAACCGTAGGTCCCTATACCTGCAAAGGAAACAACGTACTGGTGCCGTACTAAAAAACTTCCAAAGATAACTGAGAAGCATCACATTATACAGGTATGTTTATGGTATGTCATTAAAGTCTGGATAAAATAAGGTAAATATTCTCGTACGTACAATTATTTTTTCAAATCAAAATATACATTTCATGAACTAATTATTGTAGTCTATCTAGTACATCTTTGTGTCGTGCAAAAAGTGTCATTTTTCGTACACCATACATGTAAAGGGTGACGAAAATGGCTTTAGATTAATCAAACTATACTTTACAGCAATATTACACTTGTATATACCATTGGAAATATATTTCATTATTATATATTCTCATAATTCTTTTACATAGTATTCATCATAAGTAATTCCATGTTGCGATATAAAACACATATCCGTTTTCACATCTCATGTACATCACATCACATCACATCACATCACATCACATCACATCACATCACATTACATAGCATGAATCACATCACGTCACAGCACATGTACATCACATCCCATGTACATCACATCATAAAACATCACATCCCATGTACATCACATCATAAAACATCACGTCACATCACATCACATCACATCACACGTACATCTCCTCACATGTACACCACATCACATCACATGTACATCACATCATAAGACATCACGTCACATCACGTCACATCACATCACACCACATCACATGTACATCACATCATAAAACATCACGTCACATCACATCACACATACATCTCCTCACATGTACATTACATCACATCACATGTACATCACATCATAAGAGATCACGTCACATCACGTCGCATCACATCACACCACATCACATGTACATCACATCACATCACAGCACACGTACATCTCCTCACATGTACATCACATCACATCACATTACTAAAAAATCATTTCATTTTCACGTTTTAGTTCGAAGGTGTCATATCCCACGATAGTATAGGTATCGTACACCATATGGAAGTGTTCCACTGCGAGGTACCACCCGATGAAGAAATCCCCCATTACAATGAACCATGCCCCGGAGAGGGATCCTCTATGAAACCGTGGATGCAGCGCATCGGGTCATGTAGACGCGTCATCGGAGCATGGGCAATGGGCGCTGGGGTGAGTTCGTTGTAATTAACCTCTGTTATTTCACGGGCCTTTTTTGAACTGAACAAGGATGTGCATGTCCAATTACTCTGATGCGGGTAAGTAGTTACCAGTTTCACCACCAGGCGGCTGATTCGGGTCAGATAGCAGTAGGTACAGCAGAAAATTCACTTAACTTGTATATTCAGCAGTTTCAGTGGTCCAATTAACATATGACCCTTATGTATCTGATACTTATACAAATTAGAATATATCCAGTAAAAGAAAATATTTTCTGTCGAATAAAAGAAAATATATTTCACTTTTTGTGATTTTATAACATGGGGTCTATGGGGAATCTCCCCAAAGTAGAAGTCACATTTACAAAAAAAAATTAAATTTTCCAAATTGATAAACACTTTTTAAAACCACATTTCTAGAAGTAATTTACATGGAGATTTCAAACATAATATCACTTTGACTGAATTTTAAATTCTTAATGATATAAATCAAGATTATTTCTACTCGGTCTGGGTAATTACATATACTGTACTCTACAGCTAGTATATCTGTATCCATTGGAAAGATAATTCATTCTGGGATAATCTTAGCATTTGAACCATATCAAGCGACTTTTAAGAAGTGCCACCATGCAACATAAGTGCCTTTCTCTACACGTTAAGTTTTGAACTCATGGTAATATATTAAACATATATTCCATTTATCTTCGCATCCCTCTTTAAAGTTGTGAATAAAAATGTTCATTTGCTCATCCACGTGTCGTTCCTCAAATGAGACAGAAGTTATTTCAAGTTATCTGCCTACTTTGGTTGTCTATTTTGAAGAACGTGTACGTGAAACGTATAAAATTTGGTATGAACCATTTTCACTTCACTGGCCTTTACTTGCTCGATTGAGTTTGAATTTGAAGGTGTGAGGTCCTCATTGAAACCAATAAAGAGATTGACAACAACTCCCTGGATCATAAGGACGTCTGCTCAATTGAATCATGAAAATAGCTGACGTCTTAGTATGATGCTTTAATATACGACCTAATGTTGTAGCCCTTTTGGTATCCGGAAGAGGCGGGATATCCTATAGGTGGCGCTGACTTCTCACGTTACGTCATGATTGAGGTCCATTTCAACAATCCGACATTGAAAAAAGGTAAAAATAACCAGCACAATTTAAACATAATGTCGTGGCTAAGGCAACAGAGGAGATACAAACAAATACTAAAATTTATGGAGGGGTGCAGGGGAGGATCTGGGAACCAACAAGGGGGGGGGGGAGTTCAGGTCAGAGAAAAAACGTTCGCTAGCGCGGAAATGAATTTTGGGCCCCTAAAACCCAAAAGTGGGCCCAAATTTTGAAATTTTGAGGCCCATTTTCTTCAAAATTTGGCCTGAAATTAATAGGCCCACCCAAGGGGGGAGGCCCCCCAGATCCGCCAGTGCGTGTAGATGAGTTATGAGAAACGTTCCAAAATGTTGCAATATCATTGCCTAGAGATTCCTTGTCATGTCAATAGTTTTTAAAAGTAAAACAATTTTGACACTTAAATCATGCCTTGATTTTGAGGGATATTGCAATCGTTTTTCAATTCTAATGAGTTTAAATATTTCGAAATCGTACTTGTCCTTGTGTAAAGTCTAAATCACTCATTCTCCAATTGTATGTGGTCTTGCTTAATGTGATCAAGATGTAAAATGGTATTTTTCTTATTGTGTAGGTATCATAGATAATTCTGGCATCCGTTTTTACTACACGCCTACCATGAGACCGCATGACGCCGGGGTTATGGAACTGGGTCTTGAATATATAGACAAAATGGCGGTACCCCCACATGTTGAGGATTTCGAGTTAGAAGGATATTGCATTCCCAAATGCACCAAAGTGGTAAGAAAGTAATTGGCACAAATACTAAGATGGTATGAATTGTCGAGGGGTTAATCCTTACGCGTCGGGCGGTTGTGTAGTGAACTCTGGCTGTTAAGACTTGAATGCTTTAAATATTGTACGCATGTACACTACGTTTGCCCACTGCTTTAGATACCATTTATCCATTACTGATGTTCTGATTTTACAGGGTCTTCCACGCAATGGCATTCACATATTTGGATCACAGTTACATACACATTTGACTGGCAAGCGTGTCGTGACGAAGCACTACAGAGACGGCGTGGAATTGCCGGAGTTGAACAGGGACAACCACTACAGTCCTCACTTCCAAGAGATACGTATCCTTCATAGTCCCGTACACGTTAGACAAGTAAGGGTTTTCAAACTGCTGGATACACAGCCAATCCGCAAAAGCACCTTACAGTACCACGAACGCGGCGTTGAAAGATACAGTGGACAATACAGAGTACTGTAACGTACATTACATAAAAATGGTACCGTGGGAAACCGTATAAGCTTACGATACTGTATGATACCGTAATGTAATCAAAATGCGGATTTAATTGGGAATGTAACAATGATTTTTAACAAATGGATATTATCTTCAGGACGTTGGATCCCAGACAACATAACTACGCGCCTTCTTTACCGAATTATGTCTGCATCTCTTTGGTCAGAGAGCGTATCGTTATAGTTAAAATCATTAATTTTAGATCGTAATTGAAAATATACGAGTCCTTATAGTTCTAATTAGACATTTCTTTAGACAGTACTATCATTTACTAAAAAATAACCAATGTTAACATTTTAAACCATGTTACATGAAGCCTCAAAACCTTTGTTATACGTATACACCAAATTTAACCCCCTAGTAATGACATGGTTAATTTGAGAATATTAATTCGATACATTTCAGGGTGATGAACTCATCACGACATGTACGCACAATACCATGTCAAGGCCAAACATCACTTTCGGGGGATTCGCCATCAGTGATGAAATGTGTGTCAACTATATCCACTACTACCCGAAATCCAAACTAGAAGTCTGCAAGAGCTCCATTGCAACCGATGCCTTAGAAAAATTCTTTGATACTGCTAAAAGGTAGAGATTTTGAAACCAATAGATGGCATGCCATCTTTATTTAAACATTATATTTTCCATTTTCCTTCAATGTTTTTGCATTGCATAAAATCTCATATGATGAAACCTTTAACATGAAAAAACAGTTTATTTGTTTCATTCATATATATTTGTGAGTATCCATTTTTATTGACCTATTATCCTGTAAACAGTTATTTGATATCATTACAGATTGGACGACCGAGTTATTTCCCCTATGAAGGTAGTAAGTAAGAGCTATAAGTCAGTCAGATGGGACAGAGTGACGACCAACCTCCTTGAAGCATTCTACATGAAGGAGCCCATTTCCATGCAGTGTAACCAGTCTGATGGTCATCGATTCCCGGTAAGATTGTCGTCTGCTCAATTTCATTTGACGTCATTTCCATATTCAGGCAGAGTTTCGTATTTGAAAAAGTTGCAATCATTTAGCCATTATCATATCCAGGAAAGATTTTTCATGTTTAAAAAAAACCAAAATGATTATTATCAATTATTTTAACAATAGGAAAGTGAAACTAGGATCTCGTAAATTTCCACACCACCTTTAAATCCAGTGTACAATTATTGCTTGTCCTTTGATGCTTATTTTGCCGTAAAATGTTATGATTTCTTCTAATATGAAAGAAGGTCTTATGACGTGCACGGACCTGGGGACAATTCAGGAAATACGGTCTGATCTCAGCTTTGAGCGTTAATCTCTGCCTTATTTAAAAAGCTAACTATGTGTTTTATATATTTTTCCTTCAAAATTTTGATGGGATCAAACATATTTTTAAAGTTAAATATATCCCGACATCGTCAAATACGCTGTAAGACGGAACACTTTACGCTTACAGGGCTCGTCTAAATTGGGATAACTTTTGAAATAATGATCAAAATTCCCCTAAAATTTCAAAATTTATTCAATGGAACATGTTCATTTATGACGTCACGATTGCTTAACGGCTACAGTTAAAATGATCTTATATGAACGCTTTTAAAATTTTCAAAATTGTGTAAGGTTTTGAAGGCGAATGGGACGAGCAATAAGTTTACCTTCATTTAACCTTCTAACTTAAGTCTGATTTGAAAGAAAAATTAACTGCACAATTTTGTCATGGCGAAATTTACAAAACAATAACCAGTTTGTTTATTTTGCAAATAATATTGAAATAAGAGCTGGTTTTTGAGACTTGAAAAAAATGTGACGCATCGATTTTTACCACAAATTCCATACATATCAATTTTTACCAACGCCCCAAGTGGATTTCTTGACCGTTTTTCAAAATTCAAAAACATTTTAGACATATTGTCCTCGAGATCTTGCTACCCTGTGAATTTTGTCATGATTAGATAAGGATAAAGTATTTTATTTTTAGGGTGACTAAACTTGTCAAAAATGTGACGCTTGTCGTTTTTGACGTTGTAAGGCTGTTTGCGCCCTATGCTGCTCATTGTTTTGTCTTGGTTTTTGACGCCATAATATTACGCTAATTGTCCCCAGTTTCGTGCGACGTGTACCTACAGTTTACATATTAAATTGCAATTTATAGGGACACTGGGATGACTCGGAAATACCGAAGATAACACACCCCCTACCAACACCACTTCGACACTGTCCACCATGAAGAAAAACAGTCAATTGTTGAATGGATTATTACGTCCATGCTGACCGATTGCTATTGTGGGGGGGGGATAAAACAGACTGTAAAAGTAGTGGCCAAAAACTGTCAATACTGCACCTGATTTTAAATTGAACTGAATTGGTCAATTTATACTGTTACTTAAGATATGAAATGAGTGCTCTAAAATGGACTAGATTAATCCACGATTTGTCTTCCAAGTTGATGAGGACAGAGAGGGGGACATAGTGGCGCACTTATTCTCTCTTAAATAGTTTTACTATTTCATAAAACATCTTCCTGTTCATGGTTTTTTAAAACACATGATGCTTTATTGTTTTTAAATGAAGCTTAGTACAGTGAAGAATGAAAATTCAATCTTTCATATTTTCAATATAAAATTTGATATGTATTTGATATGTATTTGATATGTATTCGGGTGTCCCGAAAGTATGGGGCCCCCCCTAGGCAGACATATACCAGTGTCGTCACAGTATGTGTCATATATCATTTTAAAGCTTATGCAAAGTTGATTGATTGATTCGCCAAGTATCATGGTTCAACTCTCAAATGTGAAAAAATTACAGGCATTTCAAAATTTAGTGTTTGGTCAAAATTAAGTTCAATTTTACACCAAATCACTAGTCAATGTGTCCTCCCGGGCCATTTTAACAGCAGCAATTATTTTCGGGTTGGATGGATATTGAATTGGAAAAAGAGAACGGTGAGGGTAGAAACTCTAAGGAAACTCTTCTAAAGTTCCTTAACAGGTTTTAAGAGGGTTATAAAATTCCACACCCCTATTTGAAGGGCTTTTAAGGTCATATCTGAAAATAATTGCTGCTGTGAGCATGGCCAAGGGGGGACTCATTGACTAGTGATGTGGTGTAAAATTGAACTTTATTTTGACAAAACACTAACTTTTAAAATTACTGTAACTTTTTCCCATTTGGGAGTTAAACCATGATACTTGGCAAATCAATGTAACTTTGGATAAGCTTTAAAATGATATATGACACATACTATGAGGACATTGGAATATGTCTGCCTAGGGGGGGGGCATACTTTCGGGACACCCTGTATAGGATATCCTAGGACTCTAAGTGATATCACCTTCAACCACGAGTTAATATCAATATCTCTACGAGTGAAAGTCAGAGAAAGGAACTCAGACCAGTCGAGATCCCCATGATCCTAACGACCATCTCAAGTAAATTTTATTATGAAATAAATAGGTTATTAATGGTCGTGATGGAATATTGCCAATATCATATTTTCACTCGGAATAAAATTCATTTTCCATCCCACCCAGTTTTGTAGTTTAGCTATCATATCTGTGTCCTCTTATATTTTGATACTTCTCTGACATATTATTTTCGGAAAAAATAACATGACTGAATCTCCCTAAATTACAAAAAGCCACAGCTTTGCTGCACATTATACATTACTATCTGAAATATACAAAAGTTAGGATAAATATAAATGTTTCTATTTTTACATAAACTGTTTCAATTTGGTCATTTGATTGTTTATTTTTTAAATTCAAAGTACTCAAAAATATTTAAATTTTTTTACTATAAGACTTAAGAATCCTACAGTGATCGATACATAACTTTTGAACAGTCTATGTTTATTATTTTCAACAGTTCTTTTATCCAGATGTGAATCTTGGTTCACTTTCATTCTTCTCCGAGGCATCAGTTGAAATCACGTGACGAGTATTTACTTGACCCCAAGACCAGTAGAAGCTATACACCTTTTTATAACCTTTTACCCATTTGTCTTCTCCATCTTTGTTGTCTAGATTAAGCAATAATGATTGACCCTCTTTGAATTGAAGCTCACCTGGTTGAGCGTCTTCTTTTGACACCGTATCTATGGCTTTATACCAGTGCCATTCTTTGTCCTGAAAGACATAAGATTAACTCATTTGTAAACTTTGGTGACATACTAGTATTTGCATTCTTTACTGCATCGTACTATACGAGGGTTGTCCCAGAAAGCTAGAGCATATAGTGCATTACTTCTGTGACAACCCTCGTACTTACTGAAACGTTGTTTTATCTAAAAACCATATTCAAAATATGAAAAAGTTTTCATTTACTCAATAAAATCACAACAATTTTTTAAAATAATAATGCCAAAAATCCGTTTACAATTTTTGTTATGAAAATTATCGATGATCCATGATTAAACCCCAAACACTATTAATTACTATGTTTATTTAGAAAGGTGTACACCACTAAATGTCAATAAATACAATAATTTGTAGATAATAAAACGCTTACGGTATTCACAGGTTCCGATTCCCTTTCGTTCTCCGCACGTTTCTCTGCATTGATGACGGATTCAATGAAATCGAGAATCTCACTGAAAGCAAGAACAAAATTAGTATGTATTTTTGAGGATTTTTGAGGGGGTTTCTCTTGAAGTATCTATTGTTTTTCTACGTGTGTTCATTTTACCCCGTCGCTCTTACAGTAGGTTGATCTCTAAATAAAGACCCAAATGAATATATGTGATCAAAATTGGAAAATAAGAAAAATAAACTAAATAGAAATAAATGTTATTTTCGAGTACACATAATTCATTCCATACGGGTAACGATTTTTGGCGCGAAGACGAGGATTTTCCAACCCTAAACATATCCATGAACTTTTATCCCTAACCCTATACTCGTAACCCAAACTTTAACCCTTAAAGTGCCCGATAAAGTATAAAATGCGCATGCGTCCAGGTGTTGATAAACTATAAATAGCGAAAATCCAGGGTTTGTCACCACAAGGTAAGCCAGGACGTGTTGAGAGAACAGCTAGTGTTGATATTGAGTTTATATGTAGCCAGATAAGTTTCCTTATTGAAATTACATATGGTTATTAGCAATACTTTGTAGGTGCTAAATAATAAAATATTTAGAGTATATATGAGAGAAATTGGTCATTTCGAACCTGTTGAAAAGTGTGTGGCTCTCGGCTACACCGAGGAATTTACTTCCATGAGTACACACATAAATGTGGGGTTCCCCAAGAGGTACGCGACAAGGTGACCTGGCATCAACTGTGCGACTAAATGCTACTATCTTCGAGAAGATAAAATAACGAATACGACAATAAGTTATTGCATGTGACAATTCCGAGCCTTCATCTCACTGAAGTATTTTGAAGTGAAAATAGGATTTTTGTTTTGATACATGAATTCAGAACTTTATTCTGACAACTAATCAAAACTGAACAAAATTGATTGTACGTAACAGACAATTTATTGTTTTACAATGTTTTGATTGGCTAAACGAATGAAACCAACAAATTATGACATGTGAAATGACAATTTTGAAATGTAAAATTTAAAAGTGACAAACACAACCTCCCTATCCACTCTTTGGGAGCCCTAGTAAATTAGAAATATGTACATGCAGCAGTGGTAGTGTGCAGCTTATTATCACACTACGCTTTGTATTCTAAAGCCTGTTGTTTGTAATAACACTGTTCACTCAACGTATGTTTTGTGTGTGGGCAGTCAACGATAATCATTGTTTTATCCCGGTTATATGACCTCGGCGATTATAACAAAACCGTACTAAACGAAAAAACGCAAATAAGAGAAAGCTTTCACACACATATAAAAAATTAACTAGTCTAATCCGCCAGTATAAACTCTGTGCTATACGTAGCCGGGTCAGGCGCACACTTTAAAAGAGTCGGAATTTCGCTCGTCCATCTCCGCTTGAATGTCACCGTTGCTTTCTCAATTCCATGCGCGGGTCTACATTTTTCGATTTTGTCCAGAGTTCATAATTTAAGTATTGGCGGCTCAGTTCCAGCCGAGTGCGTCAATCATAATATTTGGCTTATTAATCGTCGTTAAGTCATTCAGTTGCGCGTACATTTTGTACGTGGACGATTTCGGTAAAGTTTCCAGTCAATGGCGCAAAAATGCACTCGTTTTAGATCACAGGAGCTTTGAAAATTTGAAAAACTGGTTTGAAAAGCGTCCGCCATTTTTGTTTCAGAAATTTTTTCAAATTTTTAAAGCCTCTATCATTTAAAGCAATACATAGGGTATTTTTTGAAAAAATAGATTCTGTTCAGTGACCTTTCCAAAATAACTATTTTTAGCTTTTTTTCAGTCACAATTTCGGAGGGCCGAAATATCTATTTCCAAAAATAATCATGTTTAGGGCCATTCTGACCATGCCCATTATGACCCTAGTATGTATCCAACAGACCGAATATAATATTCGGTCTGTTATGATTGATATATTTCCTGTGGAAATCGCGGTGATATGTTTTGCACATTAATTTCTCGTTTATTATAAGAATGTTCACCTTGAAAATTGGTGAATATGTTGAAGAGATGTTCATCTTAAACTAGAAGCAAAAATATTTGTATAAGGCGGGTACAAGTTGATATAAAATAATGAAATGTTCAGACTCACCGAAACTTCAGGATGTGTTCATAAGTAGATCGCGAAATCAATGTCAAGGACGTTTGAGTTCACGAGATCCAAACGAGATATGCAAATTTTGAACTTTGACAACACATGACCACTTGATTACCTCGGCCTTCTTCATGAATATTTCCGCTCTATTTACTATAAATGAAGAAAATTAATCGGGATAATGATAATAAATGACTAGATCTAATAAATTCCCGCACAAATGGAATTTAGCAATACGCTTCCGTAATGTTGCTCCCGCTCCACGTGTTATTTGTTTACAAATAGACTGACGTCACTGGCTAAATCTCGTTTATCGTGAGAATTGGCATTGCCAAAATGGCTTGACCTAATCAATGGCTTCGCTACAAGAAGCGTCTGTACATTTTATGAATATCTTCAGTAAGAGGACAATATACGAAAAAATAATATTGTGAGTTCTTTATAAGGTAATCATTCTATCATTAAGGTCAGGGTGCATGATGGGAAATTTTCTGCATTCCTCAATTGAGTCACATGTTATTTTTCAAACAAGAATCACTCCTTCCCTTCATTGTCTATATCTTCCAGTTTTGCACAAAGAGTGCACTTATATGCCTAGAAAAGACTTGTGAGAAGAATGTTTTGATAAAGTGTATAAAAAACAAGAAAATTCAGTGAAAAAAATCAGAAAATTTTCAGAAATTTTTTTCACTGAATTTTCTCATTTTTTATACATTTTACAAAACAAACCTTCTCACAAGGCTTTTCTAGGCACAGAAGTGCACTCTTTTTGCAAACTTGGAAGATGTAGACAATGTGGGGAAGGAGTTATTCATGTTTGAAAAATAACATGTGACTCAATTGAGGAATGCAGAAAATTTCCCAACATGCACCCTGTCCTTAAACAAACTTATTTGTAACATTTATACAACACCACATTTTACAATAGGTGACTTACAGTCTGAATATTTATTCAGACGAAGGATACAGTCTAATTATGACCCTGGTCATGTAAATGATATGTGGAACTGACTAAAGATCAAAACAAAACTCTCTTATCTTAGTTCTAAAGATTTCAAAAAAATAAGCGGCCTACATACCCATACTCATCAACTGGGGCGGATCCTGCAAGGTAGACCATACACACTAGTGCCAGTCCTCCTAATATAATTTTGTTCATCATTGTAGTCCAGTTCTCCTCTATTGTCAGTTCTGTACCTCTGTACCTGCCTTTTCCGAATAAAAAGCCTATTCGATTCACTAGTTTTTGCCTGAGTTGCCACACCTATTTCAAGGTTGCCAACGTTGAACTGGCCCTTGTGTTCATCGAACCCTTGCAAAACAGCACGTGCCAACTGTTTGCTATAGATTATAATTATGTGGTCAATTTGGCCATAACAGTTGAGTTTATAGTACATGTGAACATTTATGCCTTGACCACATTTGCTCCGATTTTCACTACGGCGCCCGGCCGATTGAGTATTTTGTTCAAAATTGAATACAATATTGAATGAACAAAACACTCAATCGGCAGATCGGGCGGGCGCTGGCCGATGGATTGAAGCATATGTGACCCAGGCATTACTCAGAGGTTTTTAGTATATGATTTGAATAGTTAACAGTTAAGGTACATGTGGACAAAAACATTTTTGAAAAATGCTATACCTGCCTATGTTATTTTCTGGTTCAAAGTCATGTATCTATTTCGTGAAAGTGTCGTCGGCAATCTTCGTCACTTTCCGTGATTGGTAAAATAAATTCCCGCGTAAATTACTGTGTTCATTGTACCTTCTGATTTAGAAGTAACAAGTCAGTTTTTCTTCTGTAGATACGCGAAGAACTATTCTTGATCTGAGTTGGCCGAAGGGAGATTCCATAAATTCAAATACCCCTAAAAATACCATTCAAGGTCAAGAATACAATTTGCGTTTTCCTACTATTGATGATTTGTGTGATCTTATTGTCGAGAAAGGTTCCGGAGCGTTGATGTTCAAGTTGGATCTTCGCCGGGCTTACAGACAACTTTTTCTTGACCCGGGTGACATACACTTACTTGGATACAAGTGGAGAGATAGACTTTATTTCGACCAGGTTTTTCCATTTGGCAGCAGATTAGCCGCCCTCGCGTGTCAGAAAACCACTACGGCAATTACTCACATACATCACCAACAAGGCTTTCAAAGCATTGTATATTTGGACGATTTCGCAGGTGTAGATACGCGTGAAAATATCGCGTCAAGTTTCGCAAGCCTAAAACAGATCCTAGATGATCTCAATATTCAAATGTCAATATCAAAGGAATGTCCACCTTGTCAAGAAATGACATTTCTCGGAATTTGGGTTAACATAGAAAACATGACGTTAAAAGTAACACCCGAACGTTTATCCGAGATAAAATCCATCGTGAAAGAATGGTTAAAGAAGAAGAAGTGCAATAAGAAGCAGTTGCAATCTTTGATCGGAAAACTCCAATTTGCCGCCAAATGTGTCCGACCTGGGAGGTTGTTTATTTCGAGATTGCTGAATTTCTTGAAATTACTTCCTGACAGAGGTAAGAAAATTATTCCGGAGGAAATATCCAAGGATCTCATGTGGTGGGAAATTTTCTTAGATGAATATAACGGAGTTTCGTGCATTCCGGTTGAACCGTGGTCTGAACCCGACGTCATAATAGCTACGGACGCTACATTGACTTCATGCGGTGGTTACGCGTTCTCTGAATTTTTTCACACCGAATTTCCGAGTTTCATTTTAGAACAGAACTTGAACATCAATGAACTGGAACTTTTGACCATTATTGTAGCCATGAAATTATGGGCCCAAAACCTGAGAGGTAAAAGAGTGTTAATGAATTGCGACAATAATACATCGGTTCTAGCCCTTAACTCAGGTAGAGCGAAATCAGAAATGATGCAAAAATGTTTAAGAGAAGCTTTATTTGTACAAGCTCATCATGAATTTGAGATTAAAACTGTGCACATTGCTGGAATCGACAACAGATTGCCTGATTTACTATCCAGATGGGATAGAAAGAATTCAGAAAAGTTTTTTGACTCTGTTAAAGGGTCTTCTGTCAGGGAAAGGTATTGTTCAAAATATTTGTTTGAATTTTTACACAATTGGTAAATTATTAATTTAATTTATATTGCAGTGTCTGAAATTGAAAGGCTTGACAAAGAGATCAGGGACACTCAAAGAGCTGCCTTTGCCAAAGGTACGAGGGAGAATTTGAAGGTCCAATAGAATCTTTACTTTTTGTTTTGTACTTATTTAGAAATAGAGAGTATGCCTTTGTCATTAGAAAATACCCTCAGATATATTCAATTTCTTGCCAGATCTTTTAAGACTACTCAAGCGATCAGAAATTATTTGAATGGTGTACGATTGTTACACAAGATTTCTGGTTTCGAATTTGTTCATCATAAATCTATAGACGCCAAGTTTCTATTAATGGGAGTACAGAAAAAATCCCCACACACCCCTTTACAGGCGGAACCTATGACTCCTACAATTTTAAAGCAATTAGTCTCTATTTCGGATTTAGCAAATCCAAAAGAACTTGCATTATGCACTTCCTGGGTAGTGGCCTTCTTCCTGTTTGCGAGGAAATCTAACATAGTTCCTCCTTCTAAATACAGATATGACTGTAACAAACATCTCTCCAGGGGTGATTTTCTTATTCAAGATGAGGTGGTTTGGGTAAACCTTAAATGGAGCAAAACCAATCAATCGGGATCTAGAAAAGTCAGGATCCCTCTTTCTCGAATACCTCACAGTTCTATTTGCCCAGTTCGTCTTATCAAAGAATTATTCGGAAGGGTACCAGTTGAATTGGGTTCACCAGCTTTTACCTTTGCCCCTGGGGAGTTCATCACGGCCAACTCCTTTGTTTCTTCACTTAGGCTAAAACTTAAACTCTTGGGAGTGCATAGTGAACGTTACACAGGTCATAGTTTCCGCAGGGGTGGCGCCACCTTTGCCTTTAAAATTGGACTACCTGGAGAGTTCATTCAAAAGCAAGGTGATTGGGCTTCAGATGCTTACAAATTATATTTGGAGATCGATGAGGATCAGAGACAATACTTATCTGAGAGACTTGCTCAATTCATAGCCTGTAATCATTAAACTCATATGAGTTTCACTTTTATATTTTCAGGGGTTTAGCAAGCTTTCTACTAAGTATTGAACGCGTGAGAGAGGTAACAATATAGTTAAACGCTTTGTGTTCACATTTATGTGTTACCTTTTGTTTTGTTTCTTTATTTTTATTTTCATTGCGGGCGCTTTTGGGCCAGTTTGCAGTGTGGTCAATGATAATTGAAGAATTATTATGTTAGTTATAAATACAACAATTGCCCACACTGCAGATGCCGCCCGTAGGTGCCAAATCATTGAAATCTATAATTTATGTTTAGTTATTAATTATATGTTATTATACAAGATGTATCTAATCTCGAGTATTTATGTATCCGTGGTGTCCTGTCTCGTCTATTAATGATCTGTACTAGAATGTCCTGTGAGTAGTTTTACTAACTTAGCATTCCACACATAAATATTAATCTGTGTTGTCCTACGTTATTTGAGACATATTTATCCAGTGTAGAAATGTCTCATATCTTGATAGTATTCTAATTGGATTTAGAGGATCACCAATCTCCTTGCTTTTTCAGGAAAGCATCATTACATTGGCTTTGTTTAATCCTGTAAACAGGTCAATTGTAACTCCAGTGTTGTCCTGAGAATTTGAGAAAAAATTTGAAAATTAGAAAGCATAAAATATCATCATTTCCCGGAGTTACCATCGACCTATTACCATGCTATACTAAAAGAGACAATGTAATGATACTTTCCTGAAAAAGCAAGGGAATTCAAACATACCTTCATACTTCATTTTGTATCAGAAAATAACATAGGCAGGTATAGTATTTTTCAAAATGTTTTTGTCCACATGTACCTTAACTGTTTTAAAACTATTCAAATTATATACTAAAAACCCCTAAGCCAATCTGAGTAAATCTAACGAAAGTGGATCGGTATTGAAGCAAAAGCTGGACAGGCGCCGAATAACAGTTATATTTGTATTTAGAACAGCCACAACTCGCTCATTGCTTCCTAGTCAACTCGTACCCAAGACAACTCGTACCCAAGACAACTCGTACCCAAGACAACTGGTACCCAAGACAACTCGTACCCAAGATTATTTTCAGTATTATGGGTGCATATTAGAGGAAAAATTGATTTTGTATAATAATGTTTTCATATTATAATGTGAATCAAATAAGCCTCAATATTTTTTTGAATTTAGAAGACATTTTTCTCAGTGGATCGGGAAAGCATTTTGATTTAACTTGGATCACCTATATATATAAATAAATATAATTACAACATTAAATCTAATACTTGTTCCAAACACTCATAAACATACAATATTTTGAAAAATGATTATGAACACTGCGTGAAATATGGGATTCCAACTCTTGACACGTCTAGAAACTGGTCTTTACACGCCGGGTTTCTAGACGTGCCAATTATTTACACCTCTTGACACGCGATGAATTCAACTCTTTACACCTCTTTGCACTTCTTGGCACACGCAGTGCAAAGACGTGTAAAGACCATGTCAAAAAGTCTTTGCACGCCCTGTGACAATTAATGGAATCTCTTGACACGCTCTTGGCACACTGAACAACATAATTATGTGTAAATAAACAACTAACCTAATTACCAATAGCAATACATACAGTATTTTAACGATTGCAAGTATTTTCTCTGATACTTTTAATTGATATATTTTTTAATCATTCTTTCGCAGACTGTTTGGAACAAGTACATGTAGCAAATATTAAACAGACTATTTTGTATGTACGCTGACACATTGACTTATTTAAACATTTTGGCAATTTCATGCCGCCTTTTGAAAATATAAATCAGTTACAGGCAATGCTAATCGACGCATTGATCCTAAGTGAAGGAAATACATATCATGATAAGAAAAAGAAAGGCGTTTCAAGGATAAAACGTGCAATAAACTTTGAAAACACTGATACATCAGGCCTATTTATATATTTATTTTGTATTAGCTTAATATAAAGATAACCTTACTTTTCGATGAGTATTTGGATTTCGGAGTAATTTGTTTCAAGTTAAGTCAATACAAATTATCGCCGACTTAACTTGTGACCATACATATGATAAATGAGGGGCATTTTAATACACAATTGGGCAAAACAAGCATATTCAATCGAATGTACCATTCTCTCTGCTGTTCTTTCCCAGCCTATCCATAAACAGACAGGTACAAAGTTCCCATAGTTTTCGCAACATCTAATTCTATGATCAATTGCTAGACACAGCAAATATA